TGGTATGAAGCTAGCTGACACCCTGGATTAACACAGGCTACATTTTCCTGCGGGAAAAAAACCCCAATAAATCGCGGGTAACACCGCGGGGCACAGCTAGTATTATGTAATGTTACTTTGATGCCTCTCCCACACCTGCGCGACATAGCTTTGACTACTTATTGCGCTAAAATTATTCCAATTTTTTAAGCGGTAAAGGCGTGCTTGTACTTTCCTCCACAGCAAACACAAATTAATCGCCCCACAACCCCTTTAATGCGTGTCAAATTATCGCCCGTCAAGCTATCGTGTACCATCTATAGACACGCAGCACGCTAATTCATAACGAAAAAATTATAATTTGTCATTTTTCTTAATGTGCCTTGGAATGTTAATTTATTCATTTTATTTTACAAGCCCTGTAACTTTGCTGTGTCCTAAAAAGGCGACTAAGTTTTAAAGTACTCTAATATTGTAATATTCCAGCTAATGTACACTTAGTTTGCAATAAACGATTGACTAATTCAATTTTCGAACGCTAATTTTAGCACATTTAGTACCACTATTGACTAATTCAAATTTCGAACGCTAATTTTAGCACATTTAGTACCATTATTGACTAATTCAAATTTCGAACGCTAATTTTAGCACATTTAGTACCACTATTGACTAATTCAAATTTCGAACGCTAATTTTAGCACATTTAGTACCACTATTGACTAATTCAAATTTCGAACGCTAATTTTAGCACATTTAGTACCACTATTGACTTATTCAATTTTCGATCGCTAATTTTAGTGCATTTAGTACTACTATTGACTAATTCAAATTTCGAGCGCTAATTTTAGCGCACTTAGCACCACTATTGACTAGTTCAAATTTCGAACGCAAATTTTAGCGCATTTAGTACCACTATAAACAAATTAAAAATTCGAACGCTAATTTTAGCGATTTTAGTACCGAAGCCAGGTGTCGTCGCGCAGATGTGGGAGGTGCATGAGGAGCAAGGTGGGGCGGTGCGCTGTGGGTTTGGTTAGCGTGTTCTGTCTGCGATAATACAATTTGTGCAACTTTGCCATTTATAGAATGGGTGATCAAAAATTTATCTTTTCCGTGTTTCGGAAGGCATATTAAGCCTTCAGCCCGCCTGCATCTACAGTCGTTTTCATCCATCAACCCGTACAGGGCCCGCGTGGTAGATCATGGTCCAATCACAGGAAAGGCCATTAATAAGCTGATGATGAACAAATCCTTTGCTGCAATTTTTAAATGACCTCTGTGGTGGACTGTGTTATGTATACCGGGTTACAAGATGTCGCCTGCTTAGAGGTCCTGGGTTCCAATCACGGTAGGGCATTCGATTGTATGATCAATACCATACGAACATTTATACTTTAGACATAGGTTTGTTTACTTAATGTTACTGTCAAACTCAAAATCACCAAGGATAAAAAAAATTAGATTGGCTCTATGCCAAAAATAATTGCAAACTATAATGATGACTCTTAGATCATATTGCCTCAAAATTTGTATACTAATAATCTTTGATAGGGCAGCGTGCACAATTTTATACCTTTAAATGTTGCTTTTTAATAGATATTTCGTAAAAAACTGTCATTTTGGGAACGTTTTTCTAAGGTTGATAAAATGTCCAAAAACTTTCACTTTACTAGTAGTCGGAGAGCCCACTGCGAAATATCTACCCGAATCGGACTTACGGACAAATCGTGTACGATTCGATGGGGAATGTGGTCGTGATAGGGTTGCCGGACATGATAAACCCTGTATCTTGACCGAAGGGTCGAAAAAAGGGCCACTGCCGGTCAATTTTTCGGGAGCCTGCTACCCGGATAAAACTTACAATCAAAATTAGTGCCAATCGATAGGGGATGTTGAGCACTTTAAGGAAAAATCGGGTTGCCACCCCCCACCCTGTCAGGGGTTGCGGCAGCCACCCTTAAGTGTGACCCATTTTCCTATTGCTCTACCCGGATCGAACTTACGATTTTTTTTTTTTCCAAATCGAAGCTTGAACTTTCCCCAACACGAAAAAATAGGGTTGCCACTTCTGACCTTGACCAGAACAGCCGTCAGCCAGCCCCGAGTTACCCAATTTCGAGGTTCCAATTTCGATCGCAATTTAACTACCCGCATCGAACTTACGATTTCTTTTTTTTTTAAATCGAAGCTTGAATTTCCCCGAACACAAAAAAACGAGGTTGCCAACTTTGGCCTTGACTGAAAATTTTTCTGCCAGTGAATTATGGCGTCAATATTAATTTATTTTATTTTGGAGCAGATCGAAGCGTTGAGATCGTGGCAACAGTGTAACGACAGCAGCTGCTACGTCCTCATGTATTATGGGGTCTTTTCAAAATTCCCAGGTAGAAGGGATCTATCTGTTTTCGGTCTAGCAAAAAAAAAAATTGCCGGGTTATTGAAATAGAAGTAGATATGTGTCGTTACGCGTTTTCTAAATAACACAACGAAACGTTACCGGCGTTCTCACAACGTTGTCGAAAACGTCTATTTTAAAACGATCTATTTTACAACCACCACGCAAAGTCAATATGTTCAAAAAACAGTTTATTTTGTAAAGGTTCGTTTTTCGATTAAGACGATCTATTTCACAACCACCATACAAAGTCATTTTGTTTTAAAACAGTTTTTGACGTGACAACGTCTTAAATTAGGTTGCGGCTGGGAGTCACTTATGAAAAAGTGTAACGCTCGGTAACGTTACGATGAGTCTCTCGTGTTAAGTTTAAGTTTACATGTACAATGTTTTAGTAAACAAAATATATTTCTATAGTTAAAATTTGTGCAATTCTTATTTTCATTCAATTCCTTGTTCCTATTGTGCAATTTAATTATATTCATATTCGTAAAACCGACTTTACAGGCAACCATTTTTTTTTAAAGGTTCGCTTTTCGATTGAGACGATTTATTTCACAACTACCACACCAATTCAATATGTTTTTAAACAGTTTGTTTTTATAAAGGTTCGATTTTTGATTGAGTAAATTTGACGTTGTTTGAGGTTATCAACCCTTCTATTTGTTATTGTTTACTAATGATTTGATTTTAAACTCAAATTAGCTCATTGCTACAAAAAAGAGTGTTACAATACTACCATTCTTTACGTTGTCACTTCTCGTGAAGATATCAAAAAAACGCCACAGCAAGCAACGCCCTGTGTCATGTTATTGTACAATGTGGCGACGACAACGGGAGAGAGAAATTTAGCGTTGTGAGAAATAGATCGTTGTGGGAAATAGATCGTTGTCAATGTCACCCATAACGTTTGCGTTGTGGCTCAGCGATAACGTTGTGAAAACGATTTATGCTATATAACGCCCACTCCTAAATAGAAGACAGTCGTAGTCTATCGGTCCTCGCTGTGAGTCGACGCTCCGCATCATAGCGAATGGTTTTTTTCCGTGTGTTCATAATAAAACTGTTTGTTCATGTCATACAAACCCATGTTTTTCAATCCACGCCTCTACCAACCTGCCCAAAGATTGTTCATTCCTTAATGAAATAAAAAAAAAAAAATCTGATTTTCTAATGTTTTTTCATGATTCGTTTCGATCTGCTCCAAAATAAAATAAATTAATATTGACGCCATAATTCACTGGCAGAAAAATTTTCAGTCAAGGCCAAAGTTGGCAACCTCGTTTTTTTGTGTTCGGGGAAATTCAAGCTTCGATTTAAAAAAAAAAGAAATCGTAAGTTCGATGCGGGTAGTTAAATTGCGATCGAAATTGGAACCTCGAAATTGGGTAACTCGGGGCTGGCTGACGGCTGTTCTGGTCAAGGTCAGAAGTGGCAACCCTATTTTTTCGTGTTGGGGAAAGTTCAAGCTTCGATTTGGAAAAAAAAAATCGTAAGTTCGATCCGGGTAGAGCAATAGGAAAATGGGTCACACTTAAGGGTGGCTGCCGCAACCCCTGACAGGGTGGGGGGTGGCAACCCGATTTTTCCTTAAAGTGCTCAACATCCCCTATCGATTGGCACTAATTTTGATTGTAAGTTTTATCCGGGTAGCAGGCTCCCGAAAAATTGACCGGAAGTGGCCCTTTTTTCGACCCTTCGGTCAAGATACAGGGTTTATCATGTCCGGCAACCCTATCACGACCACATTCCCCATCGAATCGTACACGATTTGTCCGTAAGTCCGATTCGGGTAGATATTTCGCAGTGGGCTCTTGGACTATAGCAGAGTTTTTGAACAAATCAATATTTATATGGATGTTCAATTCATGGATATCGATAAAATCCATATTGAATTATCCAGGATATCTTCATAGCCGGAATATTTTTACTAAAGCAATTTTAAATTCTTTTATGTTTGGGATATTTATAAGTTAATTAAACTGTGGAATTCCTTGCCTGAGCCCTTGTTCCCCGAGCACTACAATCTAGCGGTCTTCAAAGCAAGAGTGAACCGGTTTTTATTAGGTAAGCGCGCTCCATCATAGACCATAATATTGCTTTCCATCAGGCGAATTATGGTCAAGCGCTTACCTATTAACGAACAAAAAAAAAAGTTATTTCCTCACCTTTTATAATTTTAACCTCTACTTCTTCCTGATAAAATATGACCTCAGGACTTACATATAAAATATGGCAAATGGAATCTCTATTAACTCCGACGTTTGAAACTCCAGAGTTTTTAATCTTTCACACAAACTATTCATGCAGTTATGATATGTTTATTTAAGTTTTCTTCTAAAGGGTCTACTAGCCGGATAAGTATGACGAGTCGGTCCCCAATTGGGAACCTATATCAAAACTTATGTTTTAAAATAGACTTGATGTACAAACACAATTTATGTACATTTCGCGACCAGCTTCCGTTTTGTCCTTAAGATATAAAAAAAATAACCATACGCATGACTATTATTCAAAGTAATATATCTCAAAAACTAATTAAGCTAGAGAAGTGAAACCAACGCGAACCTTTAGGTTTTTTTACAGAGTAAATTATATACATTTACTAAATTTATGACATTTTAAAAAAAAATTTTTTTTTTCATTTCTCTAAGACTTACAATAACGAAAATAATATATGTTATGCTTTATGTGCACTATTACTCATAAAAATTACGTTGAATATATATATATATACTCTGTAAAAAACCTAAAGGTTTGCGTTGGTTTCACTTCTCTAGCTTAATTAGTATTTGATATATATTACTTTGAATAATAGTCATGCACGTGGTTATTTTTTTTCATTTCTCAATGGCAAAACGGAAGCTGGTCCCGAAATGTACATAAATAGTTTGCACAACAAGTCGATTTTAAAACATAAATTTCAATATAGGTTCCCAATTGGGGGCCGACTCGTCATAGTTATCCGGCTAAACCCTTTATAAGCTTGACACAAGCAAACTTCAAAATCTATTCCATGATTTTGGAGCTACCACCCAAATAGGGTTTTCTCTTAGTGGCGTTGCGTATGACAAGCAAAGACAATTCCAGTTTCTTTTACAAAATGTGACCAGTGCCCTGTTCATCAAAACTCACAAGTCTACACGTTCACAAGTTACACTCTACAATCGGTCTTTACAAGTTCATGTAATTTAAGTTTATCACAAAAAAAACTTGGTGGGGCATAAAGCAGTGTATTATGTCACGGGCAGCATATTGAATTCTAAGGGAATTATGGTAAGAATCCTGAATGAAGCGAATTATTCGAATCTTCCCAAGTCAACTTTTCGTAAATATTATCGTGATTGTGTGTGTGTGCGTGAGAGTGAATGGTTGCTTACACAGCAGACACGGGAACTGAGTTTTATTGAGAGTATTTGTGTAGGAGAATTTGTGCTTATATTATGAACTAGCGACCGCGATTATGAACCAACTTGAGTTTTAAGAATACCTCAGGCACCTAAAATTTTTTTCGGGTCAAAAGGTTTTCTATCTCAATCCAGGTTATAAACTACTTACATGTGTGCTAAGTTTCGCCTAAGGCCGTTCAGCCTTTTTGAACACAAAGTATATAAACAATTATTTCTATTGTATTTTTTATTTTATGTTTTATTTCAAGATTTTTATTAGTAGTTATTTATAACTAGTAGGATTAGCAATCGAGCATCGAGTTTTCTTTTGACGCTATATGTATGGCCTATATCGTGCCTGTATCAGAGCAATGTAACTTTCTACTGGTATATGATTTAACTAATATAAGGTATTTCTTTTTATATAATACTATAACTATAACATATTGTAGATCACGGGTGGTACTTTGACCCTGTCACAGCCTGCTATATCCTAGTATATTTTGTGTTGTGTCTTCATAGGAGGACACAATATTGTTATTTGGAAAGGTTGTGACAGAATAGCAGAGACTGTGGGTTCTCTATGGTCACAAACCATTTTGTCTTTATGATTTGTTTTGCCATGTATGTATGTATGCTCAGGAATGGAAAGACAAATAAAACTTTATTTATTACTATATAAAACTGGTTTGCGTACTTCAAATGGTACGCGAACACCTTTAATTAAATCATCAACTTTCCTGATGGGACCCGGTACAGTATTAATTTTTGCATGTCTCTTTTGTAGATTAAATTTTCCGCTTCATGTAAACTATTGAGTCTTTTCTGTTTTTTTTCTCGTTATATTTTTGATATTCTTTCGCCCTATCCTTTCGAACGGTGTTTCTTACCACTTGTCACTTATCTTGAGGTACTGCGGCTAAGTCATCGGATTGCGGCGGCGCATTACTTATTATGTTTGCTAAAATCTTTTTCCTTTCTCTATATCTTTTTGATGTTGCTTTCCAATAATTTCTCTGTTTCCGCTTCTCTCGTTCAGTCATATCGCTGATTGTCTTCAATTTGTTGTCTTCTCTTTTCTTTTTAAAATATTCCCTGTCTTTAGCCCTCTTTCTTTCTCTCTGTTCTACAGTCCTTATTCTTGTATTCGCTTTTTCTCTTTGGCGCAAATAAGCTTCACTGTTTTGTTTATGCATGTTTTGATTCCGTTTTTTATTTTTTTCTATATCAGGAGTGTCCGATATGCTGTAAATAAAAAAACAATATGTTCGTGAAATGAATAAATGAAGCATTTAAGTGAATTGCCCTTGAATGATCATTCTGAGACGGCAACCGTCATTTCGGGAACGTGCCATCAAGTCCGGGAACGGTTCCAAAATGGCCATTCACGGAACGATGATTTCAAATGACCCCGCGCTCTAATTAATCGGTGGCCATCTTAGATGCAGTCTCACTTTGTAGTCTGCAGTTCTAGTAAAATATATTAGGTTATTTTGTGATTTCTTGACGTAAAAAGTGTTTTATCAACAATTCAGTGTTGAACATATACCAGACTTCCGAGTTGATGGACACTCTATAAATAATTAATTGAAAGGTACTTACCACATAAATGCAATTAATTTATTTGGTGAAAATACACTGACAGCTGGTTTTGTTATATTTTTCTTCCTCTACTGACGTTTGATACCTTATAGCTGCGTTCACATATAATTATTTATGTTTGATTATTGATCGGATCATTGAAATGATTTGCAAACTGTCGAAAACACTACATATTGCTACATGCAATTGTGCATTTTTCTTATTTAACGTAAATATTTTGGTATAATTTCTAAAACTACATTTTGTATTTAAAATACGGAATATCAATAAAAGACATGTTTTAAATAACTAAATTTTTCATCAATATTTAGGATACGAGGACGCGTTCCCGAAATGACTTTCTCTGTTCATGTGAACTGAAATAATTTAAAATTTACTTCATTAATAAAATAAATTCCTTGATGTATATTTAAAAGAAGTTAGTTTCGGTAATTCATAATTTTTAGTTGCTCAATAAAGTTAATATTTAAGACATTAAATTATTAGCAAAGTCAATTCTGCACCTTGGTGATTTGAACCTTATTTGTATTAGTATCTGATGCCCTAGTATCCCATATCGCAAACTTTAGGGCTAGACTAGGTTAGCAGTATTAGAAATATTTATTAATAAAAAATAATACAAAACGTAAGCTAATATTAAAAAGAAATGTACCTTATAACGTCGTCCAATGTCTTCGGTTTAATCTTCTCCTTGCCTAATAGCGCTTTACACCGTTTTCTATGGACACTGAGTTTGTCAAACGAGTCGAACTTAGCGTTGCAGCCGTAACAAACTTCCTTGTTGTGACACGTTTCGTGCACCATCAGGTCTGTTGTGGTTGAGAAAACTGGGCAAATAGACAAATAGTTGAAGCGAAATATGATCAACAAATTCTTTTTATTAAAATTTCATTTTAGAAATGAGTTATTATAAAAGTAACGATTTGAAGAAGAAGATTAGAATTTAGACTAAGTTTTTTTTCTGAGCACGGGTCAATGAGGGGTTTCCAGAATGATGGGAGCGGCGGCAGCACTGAGATAAAAGGTCACCCATCCGTCAAATTACCTACGTCTCGTATGGATCAATTTAAATGCTCCTTCGATTAATTCGCGTCAAGAACTTCATACCTAAGTGGCGTGCATTTTTCCAAACACCCTTATTGTAATTAAACTATGCTGGTGGGGAGTGAGGCTTGAAAAAAAAACCGGCCAAGTGCGAGTCGGACATGCGCACCGAGGGTTCCGTACAAACTATTACTATTAACTATTCAATTTACTACCTCTACGCGTTCATGAGAAAAGAAATAGTAACTTTAAAATTTTCAAAAATATTTTTTATTATATAACTAAAAATTTACGGTTGTTGCAATTTTTCCTTTACCTATAAGACGTTACTTCGTACCAAATTTCAAGATTCAAAGTTCACGGGAAGTACCCAGTAGGTTTTGATTCCGTTGCGAGTTTCGAAAATTTGCAGAAATTTGCGGCATAAACGGCTGTATCTTTTGATTGCTTTGGCTTAGAAGTATAATTTTTTCACAGCTCCAAAGGACAGTAGACATGAGTATTAGATATGTATTTCAGTTTGATACCTCCACGCGTTCCTGAGAAAAACGGACGGACAACAAAGTGATCCTATAAGGTTTCCGTTTTTTCCTTTTGAGGTACGGAACCCTAAAAAACAGCAAATTTTTGAAAAGTTTTCACTTACCTCTTTTACAAATAGCTCAGATATGCTTCTCTCTGGGCGGTTTCTTTGGAGAGCTTTCACTAAAAAACAGCAAATTTTTGAAAAGTTTTCACTTACCTCTTTTACAAATAGCACAGATATGCTTCTCTCTGGGCGGTTTCTTTGGAGAGCTTTCACCGATTTTTCTCCTCACTGTCTTATAGGAATGTTGAGCAATGACATGAGCCTGTGGTCAAGAATTACCATTCATAAGCAAGTAAAGCTTGTTGGCATTGTATTGGCATATATTGTACTAATGTTGACATATATTATTGTTAACGGCAGACAAATGTAATAGGAATGATGACTTTTTTTTCTTATGTTTATTTGCAATCAGCTCCAAGCTTTAAGCAAACGCGTTGGAAATAGTGTAGTGAAATTTGGGATGGGATGATGATTAAATATTTTTTTTTCTTCGCCTATCAGGTAGTTTATCAAAAAGTATTCATTATTATCATCATCATTAGCCTATTAATGTCCCCACTGCTGGAGCACAGGCCTTCCCTATGGAAGGAATAGGGAGATTGGGCCATGACCACGCGGACCCAGTGCAGACTGGCGGGTGCTAACGACTGCAGATGCAGCCGGGACCAACGGCTTAACGTGCTTTCCGAAACACGGAGGAACTCGAGATGGAAGATTTTTGGTCACCCATCCAATGACCGACCACTGCGAAAGTTGCTTAACTTCAACGATCGCATCGAACGCGCTAACCACCTGCGCTATCTAGGTCAGGGTTGTTAGATCTTAATTTATGTTGATCTGAAAAAAAAATAACTTACCTTTAAGCCTGACACACTAACGAACTTCCTGGTGCAGAGCAGACACTCTAGGGGCAGGTCACCGGGTGTCGACTCCGTGTCTTCTGGGTCACTTACAGGCTCCTCCTTCACTTTAGTATCTAAGTACTGAACAATGAAAGAATGGAACAAATGAGTTAACTTCAATCGTAGAGCACCTATAAACACTGTATACAAAGGCACCTGTTTGTACTATCAAACTGATTGACTCCTGACCTGATAATTTGCTTAAAAACACCATACTTGATATTATAAAAAAAATTGGTAAACTAATGGGGAAATCCTTATTTGATGGGCAAAAGTCCAAATAAATTCAAAAGGACTCAGGCTCAGAGTCTCACTGCTCGTCACATCACTGCCTGATATCTAAAGCACCACAGACTGAGCCTCCACGTCTAGCGGTGGTCAAACTCCGGATGTGGCACTATGGGTCAGCAGATTTTGACGGTTACATCGAGGAGAAGCTTATTTCAGAGCAGATGCTATACCATAAAATGATTATCAGAAGTGCTTTGAAATTGAAAAATATGTTTGTACAAGTGTAATATATCTGAGTAAATAAATATTTTTTTAGATAACCATCAAGTCACCTTACTTTTTGTACACCCCTCCTGTGTTCAGTAATCATAAAAACAGTGAAAGAAATTACCGGTTCATTATAAGATGTTACTCCATTCTGTAATTTTATCTTTTCAGGATTTTCATGTTGCAAAACAGAACCTGTAATAAAAATTTGTCAGCTCCATTATCTCTTATAACCTTTAATGCACAGTTACAACGGAGGAATCATTATTATGACTATGTTTGCAATGTAGACCTTGTAATTATTGCATTTTAGATAGAAGTAGTTGGTGCGGTATGGCAAGCCACTATTATGTTTATACGCATTTTTTTTTCTTTTTACTAGTAAAAAATCCACACGGACCAGGCAGCAGTCAGGACTCAAACCCGCACCCTTCGCGATCTGGGCAAATGCAATGACCATTATGTTTCCCTACATAGTAGCTATAACCTAGTGATAGATATAATATGTTACACTTTTTGTAAGGTAGAAGGCACTCTTCTTTTAGGCCAGTTATTTGCAAGACTCACAATCGAGGAGCATCTGTTCGAAAGGGGCCATTTCCATGCTAAGTAAATGTTGATAAAATTAAAAAAACTTATGCTGATTTGATGATGTATGCAAAGTGTATTTTTTTTATTCAGGTATATCATGAGGAGGCCACTTATTTTCAGGGTAAATTTATTTATTATTGTTATTATTAAAAACCACAAAATTAAGCAATTGCAAATGGAAACAGCACTATTTCTTCTAAAAATAGCACCTTTTGATCTGGAATGATAATAAATAGCATAAACAAATAAACTTATTGAAGTTTTTTTTTTTTTGTAATATTATTTTATCAAACTTTTTGAAGTTTTTTTAATTGGTAGCTGCATTTATGCCATATATATAAAACAACTTGGTATTAATTAAATGTCATTAGGTTTTAAGATAAAAAAAGCATGCATTATGGCAAACTATCAAAATTGCATGTTTTTGTTTTATCTTAAAAAGTAATGACAATTAATCAATACCAAGTTTTTAATATATTTTGGCATAAATGTAGCTACCAATTAAAAAAAACTTCAAAAAGTTTGATAAAATAATATTATGTGTCGAACAACAACTTTTAAATGAGCTATAACTAGCACTGAAGGGGAAATAATCATTTTCGATCAAGACTAAACACAGGCTGTGATAGGATCTTAGAATACCAGTAGAATTCACAAAACATAGCTTTTTGTCAGTAAATACGGAAATAGCCCCCTTTCCTAGCTCCTTAATTTAATTATGTTACAATGTTACTTATATAACACATGTGAAAGTCGTGTGTATGATAGTTAATCACACAAAAACTACTGAACGGATTTGGATGAAATTTGGTATGTATATAGTTTATGATATGGATTGGAACATAGGATACTTTTTATCCTACAAATTATAGGTTGCTGTGGGATTCTCAAAATACTGAAGTTAAAGCAGACGAGATTGCAGTCGGCTGCTGATAAAAAAAATAAATATCAATAAATACAAACCATTGATATAGATATTTGGCTTTGTTGCTACAATTTCTTCTGGTTCCACCTTAATTTCAATGTGCTCATTATAATCAGGATGAGTATATGCTTCATCTATATTATCACAGTTGTTATCATCTTCTGACAACACTTCTTGTTTCACATCAATACCCAGAAAATTTTCATATGCTATAGTTTTATCAATCTGTATAGGTTTCGGCCACACTTCTGAATAATTAGCGTCTTTTTTTTCTGGGGGATATCGTAACTTCAATATTCTATCATTTCCTTGGACTAAGCACACAAATTGGCAAGCCTGTCTCAATTGCTCAATGCATGTTTGGCATATAAATTTGGAATGTTCATCTAATTCTGAAATCTTTCAAAGAAATTTTACAATTAGAATACACACATACTTATATGCTTGATTATTTTGATGAGAATATAATTTTTACACCTAAGGTATTTAAAGGGTATATATACCAATAACAATTACACTGTGGAATAAAGTAAAGGTGATAGATCTCAATGCAGAAGTATTTATGAACAAATTACTGTCTAAATAATAAAGAAACGCTTCTGGCTGCCTCGAATGAAAAGGAAAACACAAAAAAACATCTCTTCCTTCTGATTTTAAGCTTTAGATGAAGGCTTTAGATTTTTTTTAATAATTTAATATAGGATATTATTTTACTATATATGGGGTAATGTAACTTACTTGAATGTTAGCAATTTTTTCCAGATCTTCCGCTATAGTGTTTTCCATTCCGTTCCAACCAGGAGACCAGGTTTGGAATATTAAATTAACAGTATTACATTCCTGCAGACAAGTGCGACATTCATATTTGTCAGGATTCTCATTTGCGGCTTCACTTTCTTGAAGAGCACTCATGTTTCATGACACTGGGTTAAAGAAAAGAACATTATTCATTTTAGAAAAAATTAAACATTTCAGATGCACATTACAAACAAAAGACCAAAAGACATGACGGAGATTAAATGACAGTTGACAGATAAATGCAATACTATAGACTACAGAGTTTTATTAAAATAATGAGATCTGATGATGAGAAAAATTTCAATGGATACCTACCAAATAAAATTTAATGTATATAAATACGCGTTTTTCTGTACACAAGAACCTACCTAATGAAATAAATATAATTGATTAATTATCTGCTGGACTTGATTTTCTTCCGAAAATAGCGATCAAAAAACACCACAGCACAGTTCACAAAATAACCACAGACAAAACATTAAGGTCAGACCATAAACAAATTGACAAATTTTTAGAGATGAACAGGGACGAATTTAAGGTAGGCAGTTCTTTTCTACAAGAACTATATCGTTTTCCACATAATTTTTACAATTTGATTTATTGATATCTATTGATATCATCAGGTGAGCCCAAAATATTTGAAACAGTTGCCAAAAAATCACAGCCGATACGTTTGATGCAATATAAATATCAACTCGATACTCTACAAAAATATAACAGAATAATTAATAGTAACAATAGCTCCTCTCTAAGAAAAGTTTTTTTTTTAAATATTTTACACAAAGTTATTCTGTACCTATAAACTTAAGATAGTTGTCTTACAGTGAAGTAACTTTATCGGTGTAAAAAGGAAAAGTGTTGGATGCGTTCCATTACGATGAGCATGTGGACCTCGGGCCAACGGGACCTTTTAAATCCTTTTGAAATCCACCTAGAACGAACAAATGTGACGAAGATATTATTCCTTATTTCGGTGTTATTTCAAATGTACGGAATTTCCGGAGGAAAGATTGACCAAAATTGGTGGTCTCGAGAACCACATGCTTTTAGGTTAGGTTTTAAACATAATTTGAATTTTAAATTCAATCGGGCTGTGTACCGAAGGGGTGATTTTAATTTAACGTGACGGTATATGTCACAACTACGGATACATTCTTTAAATATGTGATGCAATTGGAAGAGCGATATAAGCAATTAAAGCTGAGAGAATGACCATGTGGATCTCGGGCCGATTGATTATAACCGAAATGACAGCGATAATACTAAGTGGGTTTCATAAGGATTTAAGAGGTGGGCCTGGGGTCCACACATGCTCACCCATAAGGTAAAAGTTTTTTATCAAAAACTCAATTTTCAAGTTGCCGCGAAAAGTTTCTAGCGTCAAAAATATAGCGTCTCACTGGTGTGTGACGTCACACGACTGTCATTAAAACATCAAACGATACAATGTAATGTCACTTTGAAGGGAAGTTTACTAGTGTGTGACGTCATTTTACGTTCCGCCATTACCAGAAGTTTTCAATCACGTGACAATAGTTAAGAAAACTATTATCTTTTTCGTGGGTTTAGTAAAATTATGAATATTTTTATTATTTACATTTTTTTAGGGTTTTAGGTGAGATTTCATCGGTTGATGTCTTATTTTAAATATTATTTAATTCGTTTGTAGTGCATATTGTGAAATAAAATTAGTATGATTTTGTGTAACAACCCTCTGCGCAACTGAGGAATTAGTACCATTAAAAAATTATACATTATTCCGGTCACGTGGACGTGAGAACTTCTTGTAGTGTTGACTGCCTAAAAGAAGATTATCGAGAAAGCTTACTTGATACACTTCATGCCAAACACCCAAAGATACATTACCTAATGTAAAAAAAGAATAATAAAATTGAAGACTAGGCTGTATGAGCATTACTTCCTTTCCCTTCCATGAAAAGGGAGAACTTTAAAAATACATGTTCGTTGTCACCTGTGTGTGATTTTTGAGGTTATTATTATTATTGAAGTTCTGAAAACTTTTAACCACACTGTTTTGTTTTTATTAATGTCGTTATTTTAAGAACATTTAAACTACAGCATTGATTCGGACACGTCTTGTTTTCTGATCTCATAGTTTGTATATTTCATATTTTTGTGTCAGAGGTTAAGGTTTTTAAAGTTGGTTTTAAATACGTTTTATAATGGATGAAAACACACCTACAGTTAGTTTAGTTTCTTGTATGCACTTCGTGAGACGAGGTATAGCCAAAGCAGTCCCAGAAAAGGTATGTATAATCTTATTCTGCCCGAGATCTTGAATTGGTATTGTTTTTTGTTAAATTATCAACTTAAAACTAAACTATTCCAGATCGAATTAACAGAGAAGGAGCTTGAAACCATCATTAAACAAACTGCAGATGAGTTAAGGTAAAAAACATGTTTTTAATGAACCATAACATACTTACTCTTCCATTAGAAATACTATAACTTTATTATTATATTTTCATTCTAAGTATAAAACTCATGAATGAATCATAAATCTAAAGAAATGTCTAGAAAAAGAAAATAATACTGGCCTAGATCTACATATATCTTCAAATATATTCAGGTGGAACTTTTGCAAATAAGCCTATTAGTTTGAATCCTTAAGTTTAACTGGTTATAATGATCTTTTAATTAATTGTAAAAATATCAATGTTAGAATAACAGAGGCTGGAGAAGATGTAAGCGATGAAGATGAGGAAGCCGGAGCCAGTGCACCTCGGGAGCCACCATCAAATCCTGACGATGAGTTTGATTTTGAAAACTATGACACTGAAGATACAAGTTAGTTTCTTAAATTCACACCAATGATTAATTAATAAGGTGGTATATGATGCATTTTAGACCTTTTTAATTTTACTATAAAGATAGGTATATTAAAAATACTGTCTTGAGGGCTCTTTTTAATATACTGTATTATAAAAAAATAATACTGATAATTGATAAAATTTTTAGAATTTCTGATAACAGAAATTCAAAGGAAATCTGCTAAAATGAAACCAACTCTGTTACTATAGATGTAGCTCAGATTTTAGAGTAAGAATATTAAAAGGTTCCTTTCATGTACATATGAATCTTCATCAACAGCCTGTAAATGTCAACTGTACTTTGTAGAAACTTTTTTACATCTAGCAAATATTCAACTTCTACAACCAAAAACAACATATTTACATCAGAACAGCAGAGGTTGGCGCAATTTTGTATGGCATTTGGTGGATCTCCTTTATTTTCATCACTTTAAATTTTACTAAGTTATTTAAGTAGTATTGCACTGATTGTTTATTAAAGTAGAGAAATAATGTAACTTGAAAAGTAAACAATTAGGTAGTCTATATTTTTGTATTATATGTATAAAATAAAATCCACAAAAAATAGTTATAAGAGTGACAATTGTTGCAGGTAATCCAATTGGTATTGGGTCAGTGGCAACCCTTCCAAATCTGGGAGACCTGAGTGAAAATGTTCAAATAAGGGTAATGATAACACTATTTTCCATATCACTATTCATTCATACCTAATATAAACATTTATACTTATTTGTATTAATACTGTTTGACACAACAATCAAAATGTAAGTGGACATTGAATTGGTACCTGGTTTTATGTAAATGTTGCAACTTCTGTTATATGCTAACAAGTTTCTTGCGCCTATTCTTCTCATCAATTCATCTAACCAAACATTTCTTTGTTTTAGTGGTTTAGTATCTTTCTTTTGAATATCTATATTTGTTGAGGTTCACTATTTCCCACTTTATTACATATATAGTTTATAATTTTTTTTTATTTTTTATTACCAGACTGAAGGTCCAGACAGTGATGAAGAGGACGACATTATCAAAGCTACTGACAACCTCCTATTGGTGGGACACGTGGAAAGCGATGCTAGTGTCTTGGAAGTGTACAGTAAGCACATATTAAATTTATAGTTGACAAGAGGGTGACTGCGACTTCATCTGAGTGGAAATATTGGTTTCAAATACAAACTTGGAAACCCCGTTTAACCCCTTTGGTAGGGGGTTAGTTTTATAAAGTTCTTTCTTAACGCACGCCTACATAATAATAGCTATATGTATGCCAAATTTCAGCACAATCCTTGTTGATAGATCAGTCAGTCACCATTGCCATTAAAGGCATACAGATATACAGATTTTCAAATCGAAATCTAATGTTATAGTATAACTATAGTTGCCAGATGTTGGCTTATCAATTCCAGGACATTTGCATCCCATCCCCTCCCTCACTGAAAAACTTAAGCATCAAATCAAACCCCCCAATCTTCCCCTAGATTTAATTCTGCCGGGTGAATCTGAATGGAATCTAGCAGGCTAACAGTGTCATTCGTTATTAGGTTATTTTGTTACAAAACTAGCACATTCTTGGAATCCAGGACAATAAGGTCTTATAACTGGACACAGGAGAAGACAAAAAAAAAATTGGGACTATCCTGGATTTCCCGGCCATCTGGCAACCCTTAGTATAACCCATAGGCATAGTAGAATATGAGTAAATAAGTAGATCTTATCATCACAGTGTTAAAAAATATTGATTCACACTGAACATCACAAACAGATGAAAATGTTGACAAGTTTGAAATCATTCATAATTAATTTGTTTCAGTTTTCAACAAGGATGAGGGCTCTTTTTATGTTCACCATGACATAATCTTGCCGTGGTTTCCTCTATGCATAGAGTGGCTGAGCCATGACCCTTCAGACCCACAGCCTGGTATGTACCAAAGCTGTTACTCTTTAATCATCATCTGAAAACGTGGACTGTATAATGAGACAATGTTGTGCATGAAACACTATATATAGTATATTAAAAATGTATACACAGCAAGAAACGAGCGAACATACAGGAAAACAACAAATGGCAGTGATATTGGATGTAGTAAAGGGAATTGGTAAAATGACAATTAAATATGAATATAAAAAGGCTGTGGCGGCTCTCTGCCAGTCGCCAACATCATCATTTAACTTTCACGGTCGCAGGCCGGAATGTGATAACTACCAGCCATCAAGCTCCTCAAAAAATGACAGATTAAAAATCATTTCGTAAATGGGCCCAATCGCCAAAACGGATTCCTATGATTATCGCTGTCGCTTACGATTTCATTTTGATATTTCTGACCGCCTCCAAAATGAAATCGGAAGCGATAGCCATAGCAATCCCGATAGGCGTTTGCCCCCCTGAGTGTCGTGATGTTCGCGACCGACACATATTTCCTTCACAGAACTGCTTCCAGCTTTCCTTATCTTTAGCGTGGTCAAGAGACTCAGTGATGGTGTTGCTAAGACTTTTTGATATTTGGTCGGTTTATCCTTGGGCTGCGACCTCTCCCTCGAGCTTCCCTTTAACAATAAGTTTCTTCAGGTTATCAGAGGAAAGGAACACTTTGGGACAGACACTCGAAAGTCTCTGTGTTACATTCAACTCCTTCAAAATCTATGCATTTATCCTGTGGGGCAGTCCAAGGTATACGTAACATGAGCCGAAAGCTCCACACCAGGAAAGCTTCGATGCGTTTTCGATCAGCCATCTTCACTGTCCATTATCTCCGTAAAGGAAAATGGGAAAGACCAACGTTTTCAATGTTTTGTAGGTAATCTTTGCGCCCTGGGTGGTATGGACCCCGTGATCCAGGTGTGGGATCTGGACATAGAGAACTGCCTGGAGCCCGCGTTCAAGCTCGGCAAGAAGCCCAACAAGAAGAAGAAGACGAAACGAGTCGGACACAAGGATGCCGTGCTGGATCTATCTTGGAACAGGAACTTCTCGTAAGTATTCGACCCGACCGATTGAGTACTCAGTAATAGGTAGGGATGCAACATCGTTCTGTAAAACATCGATATTTTAAAACTTCGATATTTGCATGAAAAACATCGATGTTCAAAAATATCGTTGCTAAAAGCGATATATCGATGGTTTTGCCGATGTTTTATATGTTTAATAGGATGCTTCATTGAAACAATTAACAATACCGCTCTTTTCGGTATAAGTATGCTCGATGCTTAAACGTTAATAAAAATAAGAATTACGTGATGGTAACTTAATAATTAAATTAGGCAATTAAACAAATTAATATGAACTGTAAGTTCACAAGCTGCTTTACTCAACAAGCTATTCGTTTTGTCAATTTCTTTTAACCTTACAATTATACGCTCACTTTTCACAAACTTTTCAAAAACCTAAAGAAAAAACAAACCATCAAAACCTAACTACTTTATTAATTAATTCAATGAGTACACTGCTCACCCAATCAAAAAATCTAAAATGTGTATAGGTATGGAGTCAAAGAATCAAATTATATTTAATCAAATTCATCTACGCTTTACGTGTCAGCACAACAATGCAATGCGAGCGAACTTCACAGTGATTCCGAAAATCCGAACCGACCAGAACTATGTCGATGTTAGTAAATGTAGTGAACGATGTATCGACGATATATCGCTCATCAAAACATCGATGTTTATGACCGATACCTCGATGTTTTACAAACATCGATGTATCGTTTGCATCCGTAGTAATAGGGAATATGCATCAGTGGCGAAGCCTCCTTAGAACACGATTCCTGCCGGCTTCCCTAGGCAGATTCTAATATATTTACAGTCAAGCACAAGCGACCATTGACGTATAAAAACGTTAATACAAACGACATAATTACATTGCGCGCTTTGTAAAAATATTCTTTAATATCTTGGATACAAAATACGCTATGCATTTGAAATCGCGCATACGCATACACAGGTCCACGCCGCAGTAGTAGGCTGGAGAAATCGGAACTAATATTGGGAATTCAAACTATTAAAATGTAACTTTTTGTTTAGTATTTTACATTTACTTATGCAGTAAACAAAAAATTAACGTTGGAAAAATAGTATAAAGTGTCTAAAAAACAGTTAAAAATAGTCACCTTGCACGGGAATTACAAACGCTCCCTGCTTTCTAAAACTTGAGCGTGACAAGTTCTATTTTTGCTCATTTTGAACAAAATTAAATTTTCAGGCACGTGCTAGCCAGTGGGTCTGCCGACAACACTGTATTGCTCTGGGACTTAGATCAGGGAAGCCCGCACACGAAACTCAGTTACTTTGATGATAAAGTACGTATGTTATTCTTATAATGTGAATTAAAGGGCCTAATTGTTTTGCAATGCGATAATATGTGCCAGCTACCTACTAACTTTTCGGTGCAGATAGCAAAATACTAATAATAGATACAAATGTTAGACAACTTTCAAGTACAGTGCGACCAAATGCTGATGAATAAATGGAGAAATGAGGTTTACTAAGTCTGTAAAATCTCATTAAAAGGAATGCTATAATTTACAATAACTCGGAAAGAATAATATAAAAAGGTTAAGCTAAAATTAGACGGTTAATTTTTGCTTTCATTAACAATGCTTCATCGACGAATAACCAAAATGAAATGTCTGAATCGACGTTCATTGGAATGTGTCTTTGCAATGAATGCTTCCATCTCCCAATTGTTTTCAGTAGCATTGATCATGCATCATTCAATGGCAATGAACGACAAGTGAACATCTGAACAGCGACAACTCATTCACAGTTCATTTCTCTCACTGTCTCAGTATTGGTTCTTTAATTAAATAACTCGACATAGATGATGTTGACCCGGGAATTTGGAAGGAATGGAATATTATTTACAATGTGAAGAGATGAAGCTGCCTTGTAGCTTAAGAAAACACATGCACACAGCCTAGACTTGTACTTGTAACAGCCTAGACTGAATAAATGATTTTTTGATTTTGAATTCGAGCAGGTATCCGTTCTGCCCCACGTCTTCTACAAGTAAGGGTAATCAATTATGTAAATCTCCCAGGTGCAATCGGTCCAATTCCACCCTCTGGAAGCGCAAACATTACTAACTGGCTCTTGTGACGGCAACGCTCGAGTCACCGACTGTCGACAACCGGAAGCCCATCGCAACTGGAAACTGCCACCCGAGATAGAACGAGTCACGTGGGACAGACAGAAGCCATACTGTTTCGCGGTAACGTACTGTGTATTTAGAGTCAACATTTCTTTATTCTAACAGAAAGCGTGAGATAACTCTTTTAAATCGTCGATTTTTTTAAGTGAAACTTTCGGACGGGGTTTAAATGGAAAAATTCTATGGAAAAGAAGAAACGGAAATGCGTCACGAGCGTCACACGACTGTATATATATATATATATATATATATATATATATATGTGTGTGTGTGTGGGGTTGGATGCGTGTGCAGCTCTTCCCGACGAGTATGAAAGTTGGAGGGTAACTCGCGAAGACTGAAAAGCTACGAGCGTCACACGCGACCATATATATATACATCACTCATATATATATATATATATATATATATATATATATATATGTATGAGTGATGCGTGCGCCGCTCCATTCCCCTATGCCTTATGCACCACCTAATGTTAGGTTATTTAAGAAGCTCCGCTGTGGTGCTGCTGTTCAAGTTTCCATACAAAATTTGACAATGACATTTCGCACTCGCAAACTATTCGAATTCGATTTTGGTTCATACTAAAGGTACAGATTACATTTATATTTATTATTAATCTCTTTGCCAAAATTTCTCCTCCTTACGTGCTTCAATAACTTCTTCTTTTCTCTTTTCCTCTTTGTCAAGAGAATGTATTTCACATCACAGCAGCACTGATGCTGTTCCTTCTGCCTGACATCTTTATTTCTGCTGTGTGATTGACGAATTAACAATTACATACAAACCGTTGTTGAATCATCATCAGCTTATTCTTTGGGGACATTGGTGCTGCTGGGGCACTACCCTTCCCTATGGATGGAGTAGGGAGATTGAGCTATGACTCACCCGGGCCCAGTGCGGATTGGTGGGTGCTGCAGTTGTAGCCGGGACCAACGGTTTCAAGTGCTTTTCGATACACAAAGAAGCTCGAGATATAAAATTTTTGGTCATCCATCCAATGATTGACCACTGCGAAAGTTTTATTATTTATTAAGTTTTTTTATCTCTAATGATCCGTTGTTGAATACTAACCAATATTCCTGGATTTATTGTTGAGGAGCTTAATGGCGCGGGTGGTTAACGCTTTCGGCTGCGATCGTTCGAAGTTAAGCAACTTTCGCAGCGGTCGATCATTGGATGGGTGACCAACAATCTTCTATCTCGAGTTCCTTCGGGAGGCACGTTAAGCCGTTGGTCGCGGATGCATCAGCAGTTGTTACCACCCGCCAATCCGCACTGGGCCCGCGTGGTGGGTCATAGCCCAATCAACCTATTTCATCCTCAGGGAAGGCCTGTGCCCCAGCAGTGGGGACATTAATAGGCTGATGATGATGATTCCTGGATTTGAAACGCTACTTTTATCCTCGCAGATGAGCAATAACGAAGGAAAAGTGGCGTATGTTGATTGTAGGCAGGACGAGCCATTGTGGACTATAACTGCTCACGAGAAGGAAGTTACAGGTAAATACTTACTGCACGTGTTCGAACTTTTTTTTTTATATCTACTAGCAAACCAGTGAACCAAATGTTCACCAAAACCTGATTTAAAAAAAATGTATTTAATTAATTGAGAACTTCGGAGATTTTGTGTGGTTTCGTTTGAAATTCGTGATTTTTTTTTTTTTTTTTTTTTTTTTTTATATTACTAGGTAGGCAAATGACTCTACCCCACCTGATGTTAAGTGGTGATAAAGTCCAAACGCGAAGATAGCTGGTACAGCAGTTATTAACTGCTACACCAACCATCCTCACCTTGCCGGCCCGCAAAAATGCTTCTTCACGCCTCTCTTAAAGGACCCCAGATTATAGGAAGGAGGGAACACGTGCGCGGGTAAAGAATTCCACTTACGAATAGTACGACAAAGAAATGAGTCGCCAAATTTCTTTGTTCGTGTAGGAATAGTGGCCACAGTAAGTCGATGGCAACGTAGGCCAGCGCGCGTGGTCCTCTGAAGAAAAGGTGATGGAGGGATAAGCAAGAATAGCTCCTCAGAACACTCGCCGTGGTATATTCGGTAGAATGCGCTTAATGATGCCACATCACGGCGTAATTGTAGAGACTCGAGTTTCTTAGTTGCCTCTTCATCGCCAATGATGCGGGCAGCGCGCCGCTGCAACCTATCCAAGGCATCGAGCAAGTACTTTGCGGAGCCATCCCAGAGGTGCGAGCAATATTCCACGCAGGACCGCACTTGTGTTTTGTACAACAAGCACAGTTGATCGGGCGTGAAAAAACGCCGCACCTTGTTCAGGACTCCGAGTTTGCGTGAAGCTGTTTTGATCAACGTTTCGATGTAGTCCTTTGGATTCAGGTCTGAGCGAACTTCCATACCGAGCATGGTAATATTGCTCTGTAGCGCCAGTGTTGTGCCCTGAAGAGAGGGAAGGGGAAGGAATGGCGATGTTTTTGCCGTGAAAGCGCAAGCCTGAGTTTTCTTGGCATTGAACTCAACCAAGTTCCTAGTACCCCATTCGGAAATGTGGTCTAAAGCCCGATTGAGCTCAACGACAAGATTCTCCCGTTTCTCCATGGTTTCTACCTGTCCAGCCGCCGCGTGTCCAAAGTATCTCGCATGCACTGTGCTATCGTCTGCATAGCAATGAATATTCGCAAGTGGAATCAAATCATTGATATGCAGCAGAAAGAGTGTGGGGGATAGAACGGAACCCTGAGGAACACCGGCATTCACTGACATGAACTGCGAACTACATCCGTCCGTAAGGACTCGAATTCTACGCTCATGCAGGAAGTCAGCTACCCAGGCGCAGAGCTGAGCAGGCAGACCGTATGCAGGAAGCTTGGAGAGAAGGCTCTTGTGCCAGACCCTGTCAAAAGCTTTGGCGATGTCAAGGCTAATAGCCAGAGACTCTCCCCGCTTGTCTATAGCTTCACCCCAGATGTGTGTCACGTACGCTAGAAGGTCACCCGTCGATCGATTCGGCCTAAATCCGTATTGACGATCGTGAATTAGAGAGTAATCTTCTAGGTAGCGGGTCAGATGGTTGTTAAGGACCCTTTCTAAGACTTTACACAACACTGAGGTGACAGCTATCGGCCGATAGTTGGTCGGGTCTGAGCGGTCCCCTTTTTTGGGCACCGGTTGCACATTGGCGTCTCTCCAAGCTTCCGGCACACGCCCCAAAGAGTAAGAGAGTTGGTACAGTCGCGTAAGCACGGGAGACAACTCCGCTGCACAATGTTTTAGAACAACTGCTGGGATGCCATCGGATCCACTAGCTTTCCGGACGTCGAGTGATTGCAATTCCGCACGAACATCACGCTGCCTGATTTTAATGTCAGGCATCGTAGTGCCACAATGAGGTAGTGTAGGTGGCAGTGCATTGCAATCACTGATTCGGGAGTTAGCCGCAAAGAGCTTTGCCAACAAATCGGCTTTCTCTTGCGGCTCATGAGCTAGTGACCCATCTGGACATCGCAGAGGTGGCAGCGAGGGCTGGCAAAAGTTGTGTTGCACGGCCTTAGCCAAACGCCAAAAACTACGGGAGCCCGTAGGGTGCGTTAACAATTCGTGGCCAGTACGTGCTACACGTTGGGCATCCGCTCTGATGTAAGCCTTCTTACAAGACTTGGAAGCACTATTATAGGCAGCTTTCAATGAGTTAACCCCGGGATCCTTAAGAGCGCGGCCTCTGATCCAAGCGCGATATGCCGCCTGCTTACGAGAAACAGCATCGGCACAATCGCGATTGAACCAGCGGTTACGTGTGCCCTTACTGATGAGATCAGAATGTGGAATGTAATACTCCATTCCCATTACGATCTCCTCAGTAATGGCAACGGCACTGGATGATAGGTCCTTTTCATTGAAGCAGCGCTGCTTCCAAGGGACAGACGCAAAGTAATCGCGCATACCATCCCAATCTGCCGACCCATAGTGCCAGACCCTGCGTTTGACCACCAATGGTCGAGGGGTTTTGGCCTGTGGCACCTTGACAGATATCAGGCAATGGTCTGATGAACCCAGTGGGGCTCGAACCACAATCTGATACTCCTGCGGATGGGTCGTAAGCAGAAGGTCTAGTAAAGAAGGCGCTTGACTTGCTATATCTGGGATCCTGGTGGGCTGATCAACCAGTTGTGTCAGGTCGTGCGTGAGAGCGAATGCATGGGCAGAGATCCCTGCATGGTCAGTTTTGGAAGAGCCAAGCCACAAGCCGTGGTGGGCGTTAAAGTCTCCCAAAAACACCAGTTCTGCGTTGGGAAATTGCGCCTGGGCATCATCTGCTACCCTACTGAGGTGGTCAAACAGTCGAGTTGTCTCAGCGTCGCCGGTGTGAGATCTGTAGAGGCACACGTAGACTCTGGCCAAAGGACCAGAGTCTACATGTACCGCCATCATGGAAAAGGAGGGGTCTTCCAGGCAGCTCAAACGGCGACAACAAACATCCGCCCGAACATACAGGCATACGCCGGCTTTTGCTTTGAAGGATTCTTCAAGCGCGTAGCCGGGATATTTAAGGTAGCCTGTGTCAGCGGGCGGAAGTATTTGTGTCTCCGTGAGAAACAATAGTGCTGGCCGTGCTGTCTCAAGATGGTGGTGGACAGCATTGAGGTTAGAGTGGAGTCCGCGTATATTACAGAACTCAACCTCAAACAGCGCGGAAGGCGTGGGGGTGTGCACCGCTGTACAACCAAACTTTATTTTACGGGCTGCCATCATGAGAAAAAAGTTGAGAGACGTGAATCGAGTGGAGTTAGTCGCGACAAAGACAGGCAAATATATGGAGGCACGTTTTCCCGAGTAACTGCCTGCGAAAGAGATACGCCGACCCAACGGACGGAAGGGCCCCCGCACCCTCCCGGGAGTGGCCGCCGGGACCCCACGCCCCGGTCACCAACCGGCACGACGGTCCACCCCGAGATTATGCGTGACATGATAGGGCAGCCTCGCGAACTGGTTAGGAACGCTCGGGCCCCTGTACTGTGCCACGGGCGGCCAGCGGGACAGCCGTTTCTACGGGTCTCCCTGGCCAGTGGGTCGATGCAGTCCTCCCGGCATCGGTTCGACGGATGCCTCCACTGGACCGAATCTGTCGCGGCAATCTCCACTCGAGCTCTGGTTGTACGCTGGCTGATCCCGAAACGCGCGTGAAGCACTTCACGGGTTTTTCACCATGCGTACGGTGGTAACAAACCAGGCGGGTGTTAGGCACCCTACCACCAGGAGAGCAGATGGAAGCTCTGATATCCCTCAGTCGCTTCTTACGACACCCGCGGGAAGTGAAGGGGCGGTGAGTGGTATTCTTTCTCCGTCACCGCACGGATAAATTCGTGATTTCTCGAAAACCGGAAGTGCTACGTTACTCAAATCCGGTTTGTAGTCTTATCAGACTATTCTTAACTTATAACTTAAATATTCTCTTTATCTATCTCTTACGGTTTGGCCGCTGAAACAGCACCACAGACGGACGGACGGACTTGTCTAATAGATAAGAGATTTTTATTATATACTAGCTGTGCCCCGCGGTTTGTTATGGATATTTTCCTGCAGTAAAGTAATCTAGGGTGTCAGCTAACTCCATACCAAATTTTATTAAAATCGCTCCAGCCATTTAGACGTGAAAAAGTAACAAACATACACACAAAGTCACAAACTTTCGGCTTTATAATATTAGTGTGATTTGACGACCTCCGTGGCCGAGTGGTTTGTACGCCGAGTTTCATGGTGCCGCCGACTCGAGAGGTCCCGGGTTCGAAACCCGGTGGGGGCAGATTTTTGTGTGATGAATACGAACATTTGTACTCTAGTCATGGATGTTTATATAAATATACTTATGTATGTACAGTTTATGTATTCTATCCGTTACCCTAGTATCCCATAACACAAGCCTTACAGTGCTTACTTTGGGGCTAGGCTAATTGGTGTGAGTGTTGAAAATATTTATATATTTACTAGCTGTCCCAGCGAACTTCGTACCGCCATAAAAAATAGGGGTTGGTGGTAGAAGGGTGAAAATTTAGGGTTGTATTTTTTATAATGTATTACAAATAAATAAAAACAAAAAATATTCTCAAAGAAAAAATTAAACGTGTACCGTACCACTCTTAACATTTAGGGGGATGAAAAATAGATGGTGTCTGATTCTCAGACCTACTGAATATGGATATAAAATTTCACGAAAATCGGTTGAGCCGGTTCGGAGTAGTTCAATTACGCACACCGTGACACGATAATTTTATATATTAAGATAAAAAAAATATTTTTTTTCTTCGACTGCGATCGTTGAAGTTTAGCAATTTTCGCAGTGGTCGGTCATTGGATGGGTGACCAAAAATTTACTATCTCGAGCTTTTCCTTGCTTCGGAAGGCACGGCACGCTAAGCCGTTGGTCCCGGCTGCATATGCAGTCGTCAGCACCCACCAATCCGCACTGGGCCTGCGTGGTGGGTCATGGCCCAATCTCCCTATTCCATCCATAGGGAAGGCCTGTGCCCCAGCAGTGGGGACATTAATAGGTGATGATGATGATGATAATTGCATCGCATTATTGCGTGATTGCTTTGGTGAATATTAAGTAATGTATTTGTTCTAGGTTTAATATTGAGTGAACAAATGCCAGGAATGATGATCACTGTAAGCACAGACGGGAAACTAAAAACATGGGATATTACCAGGTAAATACATTCGATCGATCAAGTCATATTCTTTGCGGGGTTGATAGAGCAAAAAAAACCTAAGAAAGAAATATGTAATATTCTTTCATACAAACATCGTAAAGAGAGACGTCGATGTATCAAAAAGATACAGTTGAATATTAAAAACACAGATTACAGAACAAAAAGCAGATAGTACGCATGGAACACGCAGGTGCGGCCACCAAAGCGAATACAAAGTCAAGAGTTATGACTTTTTTGTCTTTATGAACAGTTTTTACAATGTTTGAACAAGGCGGCACAGTTTTGGTAAAAACTTAATATTCACGGGACATATTCACAACACGATGCGTTGTAGAGTACAGACGCGAGTTGATATTCGCTTTTGACTTGATATTTGCTTTGGTGTCACGCAGTCTGTGTAGCGTGTGCTCCTTAAATCGCGCGCTTAAATCTGCCTTTTGTTCTGTAATCTGAGATTATCTATAAATAAAAAAAAATCCCCTAGAGGGCTTTTTAAACAACTGAAAAAATCAGACAAGTTTTCGTATTATATATTTTTTTAGGTTATCTACAATTGTAGGTGCGCATTGTAGGTTATCTACAATGCAAAGAGATGGCGCTGCCTTGCAGCTTAAGAAAGACTAGAAAGAATTCGACACGGCCATCAGGGTCGCGGTAGCATAATTGGTCAGTGCATTCGCCCGGATAGCGAAGGGTGCTGGTTCGAGTTCCGTCTGCTGCCTGGTCCGCGTTGAATTTTTCTAGTTATATTTTATATCTAGTTATATTTTTTTATATACTTTTTCATAGCTAGGTAGGCAAATGTCTTCCCCACCCGATGTTAAGTGGTGGTAAAGTCTAGATGCGAAGAAAGCTGGTGCAGCAGTTATACAGGGCGCATGCCCACTTCTCTCGATTGCTAAAGTGTTTGCTAAAGTTTTATTACATCGATACAATCTTTTTCTTTCATCTTTAGCATGTCTCATTAAATCTTTAATTGTTATAAAAAAACAGATCTTATCAACAAGCGATTGTTCAGTGGCAAAAAGGTCGTTAAACAGGGCGCGAGCGGCTTGGGTTCAATTCCCAGCCGAAGAAGGACATTTTAATTTTTAAGTTTTTACAGTAAAAGCGTCGTATTCACGCTTCCTTTATTCACGGATTTCTATATTCGCGGATGTAATCGAAATAAAGAGGATTCGATACCCTTTGTTAACACGTGTCGGCAGATGGAATAATTACAAAAGTAAAATTGATCTTCTTTGCTTGGTTTATTGTCTCCTCTCTTCGTTCATTACAAAAGTTGTGATCAAGTAAAGCGTCTCTTCTTATAATTTAATGTGCTGCTGTGTAGGGCCAACAGGTCGCCGTCTCAGCTATGCTACTGTGTTAGTACTTTCGCAATACCACAGCAGCGCTGATTTTCAGCCCTAGTGACCCCCGAACGCCAAACAAAATGCGAGTGAATATAAATTACCACTCCATATTCACGGTTACTATATTCGCAATATTTCTGGAACACATACTTACTGTAAAACCCTACAAGTTTCGCTTGCTTCGTGGATCCATTAAACCATACCATTTTTAAAGAAAAGTTTACTAGAAAAAAATCCACGCGGACCAGGTAGAGGACGGGACTCGAACCCGCATCCTTCGCTATCCGGGCGAATGCACTGACCATTATGCTACCACGCGTGGTAGCGAAGGATGCGGGTTCGAGTCCCGTCCGCTGCCTGGTCCGCGTGGATTTTTTCCTAGTAAACTTTTCTTTAGATTTAAACATCTAGCAGTTAAATGCTTAAAAAATAAATAAAATCATACCATTTTTTTCAAATATTTTTTGACTTTTCCTCCATACTAGCACCGGCCCCGTTCAAGCCAGCGAATCTACGACGCGCGTAGGCGCAACGTTATGCGGTGCCGTCTGTCCCGACGCACCGCTCTCTATAGCCATAGGAGGAGACAACAAGGAGTGCTGCGTGCAAATGATAGATCTAACAGACTCAGAACAAGGTGATACTCATCCATATAGGTATAAGAATAGAGTAGGGTGATATAGACTGTACTACAAGTGGAAGTGTCCCTCTAATAGAAAGAGAAAGAAGATGAGAGACCGCTCGCTTTCTCTCTCTAATCGCGCATGCGCATTGGCAACCGAAAGCATCTTACTATTTCGATGTGATGCCATTGGATGCCATGCGTCACAAGAGAGAGATAGCTAGCGTTGTATCATCTTCTTTCTCTTTCTACTAGACGGACACTTTTAGAGCCGCCTTCCCCACTCTATTCTTATACCTCTATGTACTCATCATCATCATCATCAAACTATCAATGTCATCACTCCTGCGGCACAAGCCTTCCTTACAAATGAGGAGCTGGCGAACAAAACGGTATAATTACATAAAATTAAATTTTACAGGACCTGTATAAAACTAAATGACATACCTACAGTGAGCTTTTAGCATGGTTTTAATTATTTGAGATTCAAATTCAAAGGGCCGGAAACTACCGGACTGTTAAAAAAAACGAAGTGTGACCAGATGCGTTATTATACCCTTTTGTTCGGCGAAATAACGCCTGTGTGGCATATCCCTAAACCTTCTCGTTTCTTACACCCCGTTTACATTCAGCCCGTGAGTACTGCGTAATGAAATGAAAGTTTATTTGCATGAAACATAGTTTGTTACATCTGGTAAATAGTATAAAAAGTTCCATATGTTATGTATGCGTACAAATGAGACTTCGCCAACCAGAAACAAGGTTCTATTAAACCTACCTGATTTTTATTATACCCTTGGCGCCGATCGAAGCGAATAAAGCACTCGATCCAGATGGCAACGAAAGCCAAAACACCAAATACGAAAAACAAATACATATATGTATATGGCATAGGCCACACCCTTATTTGTCTGCGGAGGACACAACTCCCTTCATCGTGAAAAAAATGTCTACTATGCGTCTACGTAATGTCTAAGAATACCGGGTCCATTTCTTTAAATCGGATCGAGCGCGCAACGCGGCCTAGTCAGCTGTGTGTGTTGCTGCGCCGTCACATAAATTCTATTTTTCTTTTTCGGGGAACCCCCGCGTACTTTTATGCTGTCCAGTCTCTTGATTTCCTTGGTTGGGCGCCATTCGTTTATTACAATTTTCGCTAGTTTTTGACACACTCCTCCCTAGAAAAAAAATAAGAATAGGCCGACCGTGTTTAATATTTACGAGCTGTGCCCCGCGGTGTTACCTGCGGTTTATTAGGGATATTTCCGCACAGTAAAACGTAGCCTATGTGTTAATCCAGGGTGTCAGCTAACTCCATACAAAATTTCATTAAAATCGCTCCAACCGTTTAGACGTCAAGAAGTAACAAAAATACACAGACACGCACTCACAAATTTTCGCCTTTATAATATTAGTGTGATTACGTAAGAATCTAAAGGAAAAAATGAATACACGTTTGGTTTGTTTAATGTTTATTTTTCAGTGATTTTTTTTTCAAAAGATGCAATGACGCGTGACCTTTACGACTATGGAAATAGAAATCATTTACCTATACGCATCCGAACGAACCTCGGCACTCGTGCGGTTGGCCGCGTTTTTACAAAGTATAATCTTAACTGTGCATTTTTACGATCTTGATCTAAGAACTATCAAGAATCACAACCCATCTCCTTGTAAGAAAAAATCAGACATGGTCGACCCCTCCCTTCCTAAATCGTCTTACGTAATAAATGAATGGACCCTTTTTCGTGGGACTATTTGCACGCGGTTCTATCCGTCGTATGCGTTACTTGATGCAGTTGCAAGCGATCTATTTTGACGGACAAAAACTACCGCGGACAAGAGTCCCTTGTCTGCGTAGATTATTATTCCTACCACATACTGTTTAGGATTTTGTCCGGAAACAGTGACAGGACCAATGGAGTCATGTGTATCAATGAAGGTGATCGCAACATATGTCAGCAACGTACCCGCCGCATTTAGAATTCTTTGTATGCAATCCTTAGATTAAAACAAAAAGGTATGATACGGTACGCTCATACTAGCATCAAATAAAATATTATGGTCTGTCTCTACTACATAAGCAACTCTCACACACGCACACGTCTGTAAATAAACATTCAATTTAGCGAGCGAGAGAACTGCTTCAACGCAGCGCGAGCAAAGCCATGATTTTTGAGAAAAAAATATTTTACAGTTTTACGAATGAAAAGTGTTAATTGATTTTGAACTAAATGTGTTCTTTATAAAAGCATCGACGGCATTGTTTTATCTTAATAACACAGAATATACGCAATATTGTTATATTGACTGCACATGCAGCGTGTTTCAATGTCCATTTGTGACTAAAGCGAATTGTGGTCATGTACCACAATATAAGCGGATCACTTTTGAGCCGCGAGTGCCGTATCTTCCCTTTTTCTTTTAATCTAAGATGCAATCACATGAAAGGACATCGACGAAATCGGCCCAAGCATGTACAAACGAATGTCTTTCACTATTATTTTTTTACTTTATTAGCAATTAACCATAGTAAACGGACATTCTGTTGTAAAAAATTCAAAATTAAAAGTTCTGTAACTAGGTACTACACAATTTGCTGTCATATCATCGTTAGAGCCTTAAGAGACTGGCTCATCTAAATTGAAATGCCAATGAGGTTCAAAAAATTACTTCAAATAAAAGGGTTTTTTAATTCAATTCCATTTTGAATAGATAGCCTCAATAAATGCAATATACGCGACCATAGGTATTTGTCAACAAAAGAATAGAACTACGTACCTTAGTTAATAATACTATTAATATTTATTATTATATTTATAGATAAAAATATGTAAAGATAGTTTACACTCTCATCCCACATAATATCTGACTTTTATGAAAATCATAATGATAACTAGGTACATACATAATTATCAATAATAAAATATAGAAATATGTAAAAGGAAAGCCTTTGAACATTTCATTTGAAAAGAAATCTATTATTAAACTGGTAGGTATAAGTATTGTAGGTGCCAACTGCCAACACTCATATCAATATAAATGTAAGCATTATTTATTTTTATTAATAATTGCATTTTATGTTTATTTAATTGATATTATTTAAGTGCTTGCATAGAGGTAAACAATAAATCTATTCAGAAGATGTAAAGTGTACATCGTTTACGATTAAGTATAATAATTATAACCTCAAAATCTAATACATTCTGTAGTAGACCACGGTTCCTCGAGTTGTCCGTCTTTCAACAAATGCCTAATGAGAGTTTATGAATGATTCCGAACACAACTAGCATTTTCTCATTGCTGGGCGTTCTGGGCCATTCAATGTATGGGGAACGAGCAATGTCCTTTGTATACTTCTACCCGCACCGAACGCGTTGCATTTCCTTATAGACTACGAAATGCGGCGCGTAAGGTGCTGATATATGTGCGATCACTTTATGAATCTGCTTTTATCACTTATACCTCATCTTTTCCAAAATATATTTTTTCTAATCCTTTTTTACAGTGATGAACCAGTTCGGCTCTCGACCCCTAGTAGAAGTTACAACGGAACCCAGCGCTATGGATACATAGCCACCACGATTTTATTAGGATTATAAGTTGTACCATAACATAATAAATGTTGTTTATTTTATATTTACCCACATTTTTTGTTTTACTAACCCTTTAGAAATTCTTCGTAAAATATAGCAAAATCATTGCGTAATTTTAGGGGCATTCGCCTTCCAATGGTGGCAGCATTATGCCTACCAATCAGAAAATTCTTAAGCTTTAGCTCTCTCTACTTATCTGCAGGTTTTAGTATCTGCCTGACTCGAGTGGTGCTTTCGCATTTTCCTGTAAATCTTCTAGCAATTTATTAAACCTTCATGCGAACACGAAAACCAATCTCCCATCCGGGTTCCACATTAAGGAAAGCCCTTCCTTTTGCCATGAAAATTAGTAACCTCCCTTGCTACCAGCCAGCCAGCCAGCTTGCTACCAGCAAGGGTAAAATTACAAATCATAGTTATATGAAACTCAGCTTTAGGTAGTTTTCCAATTACAGCACTAGAGCGCATTATGCGGCATAATGCTTAACGTTGAATGTTTCAACTACAGCAACGCTTCGCACAATCGAGCACCCTCAAAAGTAATGTTTTCGAGTGATGCGTGCAATCGTACCAACTCATTGACAGAAAATTAACTAGTGTTTTTTTTTTAAGTTGGCATTGATCGAAATGTTTTATTTATTTATTATCGTTACTAATATTATTTATTGATAGATTTTTTTAAAGCTTTCGTTTCTTTGTAGTATTTTTTAAATAATCAAAGTTAATTGAAACTGTGTTCAAAAAAAAATATAAGTATGAATGAAGGTACAAACAATGACTTTTTTTTCCAAAACTGAATTTAGCGCACTCTGCTGGTGCATTTGAAAACAAATTCACGTTCCAATTAGGCATCAGCATAATTCGGCATTGTGCGCCACTGAGTCGCATTGTGCTCTGTAATTGGAAAACTACCTTAGATACTAAAAAACTCGGCGCATATAATAGTGCATTGCCTTTTATTAAGTTTTTGATGTGTAACACCTTTCCTCTCGCTTTCCTGCAATTTGTGGGAGTGATTTCGTGGAACGGGACGGAAGTGTGTAACAGGAAGTCGCGAAAGCGCGCGCTATTTGATTTAATTTTAGAACAATGTTCAAATGGCTTTTTGCTTTTGTAGGTTTTAATTCTTGTTTAACTAATATAAGGTGAGGTTTCAAATGTTACTCATCATACGCGACTACTGTAAGACTCGCTCGTTTTTTCATATAGACTAACGAACTAAAGTTGGAATTTCATATGTGTTACCACAAAATGACCATTTAAACCGAATACAAAGGCTGAATCACTAACTTTGACAGCTCCGTAATCATATCACATCGTCATAGTTTTTATCATGGAGGTTAAAGAGAAGGAGAACGATCACTACGTGCTAAAGCATTAGCCCGCCAGTCCCTGAAATTTTGTAGAATTTATAGTTCATTTTTCAGCCACCAACCGCGCTGCCGTCGGTAAGTAGTATCTGTGAAGTTCGCTGTTTATGAGTACAAGTAAATGAAGTTAGTTGGATAATGTACAAATTTTCATCGCGGCATTGGTTATTTCAAATTAGCGCACAACAGCCCGCTTTTATTGAGACAACTTAGCTATCGCAGCGCCTCATTTATTTTGCCCATATTTCTGGGACACTATTTTTTACAGAGATCGTTCTTCTCTCTAATCTCCATGGTTTCTATGAAAACTTAGCAGCGCCCCTACCGGACGTAAGTACAAATTGGCTCGTTGGATACAAAATTCGACGATACAATTTCGGAGCTGTCAAAGTTAAGTTCGTGCTTGCGCCTCATGTTATTATATTGTTTAACATCTCATACTTACGCAATAGGGTATTTGACAGTGTTATAAATAAGTGCCAATTGTTAGCATGTGTTTAGAATGAATATTGGCAGAGGTGTTTACTATTTTTACAAAAATATAATTATTCATAATTTTACTAAAAACCAACGAAAAAGATAATAGTTTTCTTATCTATTGTCACGTGACCCAAAACGCTTGGGATTGGCGGAGCCTAAAATGAGGTCACACGCAAGTAAACTTTCGGTTAAAGTGACATTACATTGTATCGTTTGACGTTTTAATAACAGTCGTGTGACGACACGCACTAGTAAGACGCCATTATATTGTCCAGAGAAACGTTTTCGCGGCATCTTGAAAATGGAGTTTTTGATTTGGTTATTTTTACTGAAATACACAACAGAATGATGAATATCCACTTTTTACGGACTCCATAAACATTAGTCAATCAACGTGAGATCGTTTTCTAAAACTTGTCAAATACCCTATTACACTTGGTAATTGCCCGAATACGAGTGCTTTCGAATTCGGTTAAACGACTAAATGTAAATGAACCGAGTCGAGTACGCCCGTATTCAGGTAGTTTTCATTTTGGTTGCCTGACACCGTCTTCCAGCCCGTATTCCAGTGTAAATATTGCTTCGGGTGCCCGAATTCGAGAAACATCTTCTATGCACCCGTTATACGGGCTAACGACCAAATGTTTTTGAGCCATTAGTTGCTTGGATCCCAAGATAAATATTTGACCACATGCAATGGAATTGACAGAAAACACTGATGACCAATAACCACCCAGTCCCGAGACCCAAACCGGAACCTCTTTATGCAAATTCTTTATGCAGGGCATGCAAAGATTTACTTTTGTTTTAAGAATAATGCGTCAAAAACATCATTTTCAGTGTCTCGTAAAGGGATCATGATTCGTGATTGATAAAGTAACGTCTTTTAATTATAAAATATACAACTATTTATTTACATTTGGTTAATACATTTTCCGCTTATAACCCCCATCACCAATGTATGTACCTGGCAAAGTAGTGTTAGCAGTTCATGGCAGCGTTATAATTTCGCACGACTGTCACTGTAAAAAAATAGATAAGCCAGATATATTTTTTTATGTAAATGTACTTTTTCCTATTTGTGAAAACTTCAAACGTATTTGAGATATACATTACTTGAATATTTTTTTTAAATTTATTTCAAAAAACACTGCTATCGGATAGAATTTTAATATTCGCGCGCTTTATAAAAAGTTAGTTTTGGAGTCATAATACTTTCCACTTTGTTGTCTAATTTTAACTCCTATCACGTTATGTTTCAACCTGACATTTGAGTTATGTGGGATTGTTAGGCCCACTTGCAGTAAATTGGCTAAATCTTGATTTAATTAAAAGTAGTCTGAATCGAATCAAACTTTATACCGGAGCTTCAAATGTCAAATTTGCGATAATTTACAAACTTCAACTGAGTTTAAGTTAGGCAATCAGGGAGCTGCACACATGCCTTCCTTCCTGTCAATTTGATATAGGTATAACCGTTGTAGGTAACTAAAAACCTAACTAAAACTAATAATAAAACCAACATATTAACAATTGAAATTATATTTGCAACATTATCTTACAAGATAGATGTGTTTAAAAAATTAACAAACTTGAAATGCAACTACGCTTAACTGCCACTCGAAATAAACAAAACTTTGATAAGTCTAAAAGCAACATTAATACTGTGAAGTTATTGTCAGCTATGTAAAATAATTAAAAACGATTCAACTCTTAACAAGTACCCTATGAAAATAGATTTTCGACCAATAAGTCCTGCATACACAATCATTGTATACTTGAACACATTGATTTATTTAATTTTGTTCATGGGCAGTGACTTATATTATTATATGTACACAGAGTTCATTATTAAAGTGACAATAATTTTAATCTAAAGTCAAAGTCAGCTATCGAAAAATGCTATAAAAAATAAAATGTTTCAAGCGATGGCAAATCTATAGCCGGTTTCAATTAAATAATGTAAATATATATTATTCGAATAAAACAAAATGTTATTTTAAAATAAAATCACTAGCCTCGAAGCATTATAGAAAACAGATAAAACCAATTTAAAAAATTATAATCATTGTAACATATCTGAATCTAATCTACTTGGACTTTATTAAATTTCCCTTGGTAAAGTCGTGCACCTTTTGCAGATATGACTTCAATGTTGCCATTGATAAAATAAAAGGAAGGAAAGCAAATATTAAACCAAGGGTTAAATTTTTCTAATATGAGGGAACAAATCTAAATATCCGATTGCAATGACAATCATATTTAAAGTTATTTTAAGATTTCTTAAATCTCTAAATATACACAATTTTTTTACATTAAACAGCTCTTGATGGTAACTTTGAATTGGTGTTTTACTTTTAAAGTTAATGTTTGACAAACCTTATAAAGTGATCATAATTATATTTATTACTGAGAGAACACATCTAATAAATTGGTATATTATCGCTTGTAGGATATTTTAAACAACCAGATTGAAACACAGGCAAGCAGCACCTTTAATTATATCATAATTATTCGTATTATCGAGGCCGCTTATTGTGAAATGGCCTTTTTGTGTAAGTATGATACAATACAAATCATGGGAGAGATGCCTTGACAGATTAAGTATTACGTTTAAAGTAAATTTTAATTTATTTATTGAACTTAATAAATAAATTTGCCTCCAATATTAAGCATTAACGAAATAGAATTTTGTCTTTTGTTTAACAAAGTTAATCTTTTTCATACATTTTATAATGAAACAATAATTATAATAATAGGCAATGAGTATTAAGTTAGAATTTTTGCAACTCTTAATAGATTACAAGTTTTAAATCTCAATAATATTATATAAGTATGAATTAATTAGACCGCTTTGTATATGTTACTTTGCACGTAAAACTTTTTATTTCATCTATGAGTGTTGTACTATAATTTTGTGTAAAAATAAGTTGTCACACCTTTACAGAAACTTTCAACTTAAAAAGAAAAAAAAATCTATAAAAAATAATGATTTACTTATTTCTTATTTACATTAGTATTATTTGAAAAAATAATATTTAGAGGTTAAATTTTAAAAAGAATTATTTTACTACATTTTTTTTATTACGATTCCAACAACTGCTCTTGAATACGTAATGAGGATCATTACTAGGTCAGCAAATCAACTAGAAATCAACAGTATAATGATCTAATAAGCTTTTTAATTAATATACAAATGTGACCAGCTGAAAATCACACGAAATCAATGTACTTTCGGGATGACGGCTAACCTCCTAGATGTAAACAGTAATTATTATAATTACTTTTCAGCGGGGAACTTGGTGACCGCATCGTGTATAGCGTTGGCCATGTAATGCACGTTGCTCGGGTTGAGGCCACAGATATTGATGCGGCCGGAGCGAAGTAAATAAACGTGGTGCTCTTGAATCAAATGCTCCACTTGACGAGGAGTGAGGCCCGTGTAGGAGAACAGCCCGATCTGTTTCACTATGTGATCCCAGTTGCCGGGGGTGCCCAATCTATAATAGATAAAATTCTTTATTGCTCACATACAGATGAATATCCGCGGCCGAGTGGTTTATACGCCGGGTTTCATGGTGTCGCCGACTCCAGAGGTCCCAGGTTCGAATCCCGGTGGGAGCAGATGTTTGTGTGATGAATACGAGCATTTTTACTCCAGTCATGGATGTTTAATATGTATTTCTATATAAATATACTTATATATGTACAGTATAACGGATAGAGCATCCCATACCACAAGCCTTACAGTGCTTACTTTGGGGCTTAGGCTAATTGGTATGAGTATTGGAAATATTTATTTATTTATTAATATTAATACAAGTAAACAATAATGTGGGAAAAGGCGGCCTTATCGCTTCAAGCGATCCCAAACTTTGCGGTTAAGGACAGCTTAACTGAGAAGTTGAAGTATGCCAGCAAGATAAAGAGCGGCCATATAAAATATATATATTTAAAAAGTAAGCATATATAAAGCTTATAAATAACATTTATTTACACAAATACAACATATACTTAAAAACATATATATTTGTTTAAAATAGCAATAATATATATACTATTGCTATAGTATATATATATATATTTGCTATAGTATATATATTAACTTTGAATAATACTTCTATAGCTCTTGTTAAACATATCGTACAAGGAAAGTGATAGTTTAAATAGCATAGTTTTTAAGTTATTGGTAATTTAAGTTTAACCAACTTAATTGTGTTGTGCAGTGAGAAAGAGTCTTTATCTGTGAGATGTTGCCACTTTGTGCAACCAAAACTATCAAACTATCAACTCTTTGTCAATGGTCATTAAGTCATAGTTTCAAAGGTCAAAATTTTAAAAAACATTGTTGACGTCAAGAAAAGTTTCAAAAAGTTTCAGCTCAGGTAAAGAGAAATTCATATTAGATAAATTACATCTAAGCATTTAGTTTGTATGAAAATAAAAAATATTAAAGAAATTGGAATTCATAAAAGTGTCCATTGTAAAAAAATATTAAGTTAATAGTCTCAATAACCTGCCAAAGTTAGTGTATAACCTCAAGAACGCGGTGTATATTTATTATCAGCAGAGTTGAATCGCAGCAACAGATAGTCATGCAGTTTGTTTTTAAAAATGAGTAACGATTTTGTGTGTCGGATCTAATACATCACATTACATAATTATAAATATAATATTTTCCACGCTCGCATCAATTAGCCTAGACCCAAATTAAGCAATGGTGTTGATTCTGGCATGGTTCTCTAAAATGAAAATAAAATTTGACACCAGTGTATCCTTAAATAACAATGAGAATACACATAGCCGTTAGAGCTATCGTATCTGGATCGAAAGATCAAAATTAGTACATCCATACACGAACACTATATTAAAGTAGACTCACTTAATAAGTTCTGCTCTCAAGGTCTCCCTCATTTGTATGACTCTAGTCGCCATCAACTTGATGTTGTCCTTCCTGCAACAAGAATACATGAAAATTAAAACGACAAAGGAAGCTACACGCTTAGTAGATAATAAAACATATTATACAAAAGAATTGGATTCGCTATCTAAATAATGGTGTTGATTCTGACATGATCTCTGAACTGAAAACTAAATTTCACATCAGTTTCTCCCTTTCATTTTATATAGCGTATGAAAAGGTATACTGTTGTCAAATGAATTAAATAAATATTTTCATCACTCACACCAATTATTAGCCTAGCCCCAAACTAAGCACTGTAGGCTTGTTATGGAATACTAGGGTTACGGATGAATACATATATAAGTATATAAAAATACATATTAAACATCCATGACTGGAGTACAAATGCCCTTATTCATCCGGGCGGGTTGGTGTTGTCATGTCAGCACTCACCACTCGTCGTAGAGCTTCTGGTCGTGCAGCACGCCGGCCACGACGCGCGCGCCGTGAGCGGGCGGGTTGGTGTTGTCATGTCAGCACTCACCACTCGTCGTAGAGCCGCTGGTCGTGCAGCACGCCGGCCACGACGCGCGCGCCGTGAGCGGGCGGGTTGGTGTTGTCATGTCAGCACTCACCACTCGTCGTAGAGCCGCTGGTCGTGCAGCACGCCGGCCACGACGCGCGCGCCGTGAGCGGGCGGGTTGGTGTTGTCATGTCAGCACTCACCACTCGTCGTAGAGCCGCTGGTCGTGCAGCACGCCGGCCACGACGCGCGCGCCGTGAGCGGGCGGGTTGGTGTTGTCATGTCAGCACTCACCACTCGTCGTAGAGCCGCTGGTCGTGCAGCACGCCGGCCACGACGCGCGCGCCGTGAGCGGGCGGGTTGGTGTTGTCATGTCAGCACTCACCACTCGTCGTAGAGCCGCTGGTCGTGCAGCACGCCGGCCACGACGCGCGCGCCGTGAGCGGGCGGGTTGGTGTTGTCATGTCAGCACTCACCACTCGTCGTAGAGCCGCTGGTCGTGCAGCACGCCGGCCACGACGCGCGCGCCGTGAGCGGGCGGGTTGGTGTTGTCATGTCAGCACTCACCACTCGTCGTAGAGCTTCTGGTCGTGCAGCACGCCGGCCACGACGCGCGCGCCGTGAGCGGGCGGGTTGGTGTTGTCATGTCAGCACTCACCACTCGTCGTAGAGCTTCTGGTCGTGCAGCACGCCGGCCACGACGCGCGCGCCGTGAGCGGGCGGGTTGGAGTACATCCCGCGCACCACCCACGTCAGCTGGGACTTCATCGCCGGCACGCACGACGCGTCCGATACCACGAATGCGAGGTTGCCCACGCGCTCGTCTGCGTAGAACAACAATAACGATATCTATAGGTAAACCCAACGACATTAAATACCCTAGATACAACAACACGAACAAAATCGTGGTAGAAACCTGTCCAAGAGGTACATTGAACGGAACTCCGTAAAATGATCGCGTAGTCAAAAACAATATAAGGCATTATTTAAACATTGAAAGACACCTTTAATGCGTACTGGATAAGGTATACCAAGGGCTTACGGCAAAGAGTTATATAGAGACGACTTATTGCTATATGCGGAAGAATATAGACCTTATTTCTTTGACTCTATGAGCAATTCTGAATGCGCTGTTAGCAATATAGCTAGCTAACACGGTACAGGTACCGCGAGGAAAAGAGACGGCTATAATACCGAAATACCGACCATGCTTTTGATTTAAAAAGCAAAGTAGTGTTATTAAGGATTTTTTTTTAAAATAAACAACTTTTTTTCTATTATGAACATTGGATGATTTAGTGTTGGCAATAAGCTAACTGTTTCAGAATCTTTATTAGCGGTTTGAAATGTGTGTAGATAAAGATTATTATAATAAATAAAACTAGTTCCAAGGGTATAGATGCACTGATTTCTTTATTTATGAAGTTTCACAGGCAAAAATCTGACGACACAGCCTGAAAAGGATGCGAAACGTCTCAATCCAATCCAATCAATCTATACCGTTGAAACTTGTTTTATTTAATGATCGGTGTGCGTGAAAACCTATGAAACAAATATAATAATAATATCAAGAACTGACTGTATAGCCCGAAGTTCTTGGCGTAGGACTGCGCGCAGAGCAGCTCGAAGCCCCGCTTGACGAAGTATCGCACCGCCCACGCATCCTTGTCCAAGTCGCCTGAAGCGAAGCCTTGATACGCGCTGTCGAAGAACGGGAACAACTTGCGCTCCTAGACGATAACAAGACAAAAAAAATTACAACACTCACACCAATTAGCACCCCACGACAACGGCTAACTAGAGCCGAGGTCCGAGTCTCAGAGACGCCCTCTAGTTGAGCCGACCACCTCAGGTTCGAGTGGTCTAGAGGCTCCAGACGGAGAGAAGCTTCCCCCGTGGGGAGATGCCATCCGCCTGGAATACCTCTAGAGGCACTCGCCAATTCTCGGCTTCAGGTCCCCTTAGGATCTCGCTGTCCCCAAACCCGGTGACGTTTACAGCGTCACCGGCGCCAACCCCAAAATAAGCACTGTAGGCTTGTGTTATGGGATACTGGGGTAACGGATAGAATACATATAGTACTGATACATATATAAGTATATTTATAAAGAAATAAACAACCATGAATAGAGTACAAATGCTAGTATTCATCACACAAACATCTGCCCCCACCGGAATTCGAACGTGGGACCTCTCGAGTAGGCGACACCTTGAAACCCGAAATACAAACCACTAGGCCACTTCTCTTAAAAATAAAATATTTTTATTTTTAAGAGAGGTAGGGCAAAGCGGATTTTCTGCCCGAATTGGAGCGCCCGATTGAGGAAGAAACCCTCACCTTACAGAAGATAACATTAAAATAACACAACCTTTTGGTGATTTGGTAAGGTTGCAAGCTTCCACGGTTTAGAGGATCGGGTCAAGGTAGGCAACGACGCGAGTGATATTTTTGGTATCCGAAGCGTCTATGTGCTATGGTGGCCGATTTCCATCAGGGAGGCCATACGCTTGTATGGTATGCCAACCTTTGACCAACAAAAAAATGTATTACCTATTTAGATGTTTTAATATGAATTTGACGTCTTAATGACAGCAATGCAAGATTTTTCGTGAAAATATTAGTTCAACCATCACATCACCAGCCAATTAATGTCTCTACTGTTGGAGCACATGCCTTTCTTATGGATGGAAAGGGAGATTGGGCCATGAACCACCACGCGGGCCCAGTGCGGATTGCAGGGTGCTAACGACTGCAGATGCAGCCGGACCAACGGCTTCACGTGCCTTCCGAACACGGGGAAGCTCGAGATAGTAAATTTTTGGTCACCCATCCAATGACCGACCACTGCGAAAGTTGCTTAACATTAACGATCGCAGCCGAACGCGCTAACCACTTGCGCTATCGAACTCCTCAGCTCAACCATATTCGGACGTAATCAGGACCATCATTAGTTATGGGCCAAGCCATAGCTGTAATTAAAGTATGAATTTTGTTGCCAAGGCTAAATTTTAAGAAACACTACAAATACGATTGAGATTGATTAAGATAAGATAATAATACGTTATTGCACAACAGTAACATAAATAACACGAATAAAATACAAATACAAGGCAAAACAATAACAGTGATTATTTGTTGCCCCTAAGTACACGAGGCTTTAATTTTTACTTATATTACTATAGAGGCACTATTTTATTAATTTGTGGAGATGTCTACATAAAAAGCGTCCAACGGGCATTTTTGAAGCAGGGGAAAATTTGCTCTATGAACCCATGTTAAAGTTTGATTTTGTTTGAACCCAAAATACGTATGGTTGCTTTCTTCTAAATACGACGCTGTTTTTTGTCTACCCCCTACTTAAAAGTTAGAAAAAAAATGCTACGAAATAGGAAGACAAAAACTACAATGGAGCAAGGCTAGTACTGTTAAGTGCTACGAACAAGTAGAAATGTCATGTTTATGTTAATGATTAAAAAAAATATGTTAACACGTTTTGTTAACACTAGCAAAGACAGTAAGTAATACATAATAATTATTAACATTAGCATACCATTAAAAGTGCGACAAGAGCCGCGAGAAACAATACAATAGACGTATAGTTACTGATATTTGTGATACCAGTAAAAAAAATAGGCTTTCTCTATACATATGGCCGATCTTAGAGTGACCAAAAATTTATTATATTGAGCTCCTCAGTGCTTCGGAAGGCACGTTAAGCTGTTGGTCCCGAGAGTATCTGCAGTCTTTTCAGTCTTTGCAGTCAGAGATGTTTATGTTTAGTTAAACTTAATATAAATAACACTATTTGTATTTTATACTGTATGGACATAGCAATCAAAATGCAGGTAAAACAATTAATGTATATTTAATCATTATGTAATGAAAGGTGACTTTAAGAATCATTTTTGAAGTCATTTGTCAATGTAACAACTCTGTAAATAATAAAACAGGGAGAAAAAACAGCCCTTGCTGAGTTTCTTGCCGGTTCTTCTCAGTACAAGGTCTCCCGCCGTAGATTTACGAACTGATGGCGTAGCTTCTAGACATTCATGAGTGCATGTAACAACCTAATCTGATTAAATAATTTTGATTATGATTAGTCGTTAGCACCCATCAATCCGCACCGCTTTCTACCTATTTCGTCCATATGGAAGGCCGGTGCTCCAGCAGTGGTTATTAATTGCATTTCATTGAACCATGCGTACCACAAACCGTCGCAAGGCTGACTAGGTCAAATGATTATTCGATAAAAGACCTTTTTATAGACCAGGTAGCTTACTTCTTTACGTCAGTGATCATCTCCCATGAACCCTTATTACCGTAAAATCAACAAGCTCAAATTATTCCATAATGGACACTTTTGAAGACCAGCTAGCTAGCAGGCCTGGTGCAGTGAAGGCACCTTATTATTTTCTGGTTAGAAATTCAAGCTTACCTGCATGACGTCAGCGATCTTCTCCCACTGCTCTTAAGTCGGGTCTATACCAGTAGGATTGTGTGCGGACGCGTGCAAGTATCACAGAGTTCTCCGGCGCGTTCTACAAGACCTCAATGAGCCCGTCGAAGTCTATAGCCCTGGCCTTTTCGTAACACTACAACCCTGAACCCTGCTTCATGCAAACCGACGCAAGGTTAACTTACCAAAATAATTCGAAAAAAAATCCTTCTCCAGCTTACCTCGATGACATCTGCGATCTACTGCCATAAACCCTGCTTACCGCAAGGATAATAAGCCAAAATTATCCGAGAAAGACATTTTGATATCAATTAATAGAACGGCATGATTCCAGAATGAACCTTTATCACCAGCTACCTCGTTTCCAATACACCAGCTATCTTCTCCCATGAAACCTGTTTCCCTCAAACCTTCACATTACCATACATCTCATACGTCACAGAATCAATATATTATCCTGTATGTTATGATAGATAACAGAATAAAGCCACCACACAGAAAAAAACGCAAAATGAATCGAAACCGGGCATTGTTATAGATCACCTTACCTCCATGACGTCAGCGATCTTCTCCCACTGCTCTTGCGTCGGGTCTATGCCAGTAGGATTGTGTGCGCACGCGTGTAAAAGTATCACAGAGTTCTCCGGCGCGTTCCTCAAGTCCTCAAGGAGCCCATCAATGTCTATGGCCCTGGTCTTCTCGTCCCAGTACCGGTACGACCGGGGGTTCGTAAAGCCGGAGTTCACGAACACGAGGTGGTGGTTCTCTGAACGATAAAGAAATAGGTGCTGAACAATCTTCTTATCTCAGACTTTGCCCTAATAGCATATAAGGCGAAAGCATTACCGCTGATAAACTAAGAGTAAAACAAACGGCGATCGAGGTTGGACATGTCCGGTTACATCCCAAAAACACCCTATCCAAAAGTTAAGACATTTGGAATTTTAAACTATTGGCGCTATTTGTCCGGTTTTTAACGTGTTTGCATATCGAAAAGTACATAAGAAATACCAAATCAATTTTACAAGCATTTTGTATTTTGAATTATATACAAAGTTGTATTAGACAGAATTAAATGTAATTAGTCATTTGTATATAGAAAATATTGGTAGAAGTAAGCAAGTCTCTTACCCCACGTAGGAGTAGAGTAGTAGAAGGTGGTCGCCTTCAAGTGCTTGTTCAAGAATTCAGCTCCAACGCGCAGACTGCCTGTTCCCGACAGCGTTTGAACACCGAAAGCCTATGAAGTTGAGAGACAGACATATTTTGAGCAACGCAAAAAAAATATTGGATAAAATATTTTCTTTTTTCGTCCTGACCATTATTATGTTGTTTAAAAAGCAGATTTTTAATAGAATTTGGTTATGACTTCATTTTTTTTTGTTGACTATCTGTTAATTGACTTGACAGGAAGATTAAACACGAAGGAAATAGAATTTTGCGGGGTTTTGTTGTTTTCACATAGATTTGTTTTCGACTATAAATCTTTAATGAATGAAGGGTAAATTATCTGTATTGTGCATGGAACAAGGTTACATAATAATGCCGCAATAACATTTGGTCGCTAGCCCGTATTCGTTTTTTTTTATCACAACTTAACATCAGATGGTGAAGAGTCATTTGCTTAACTCGCTATATAAAAAAATACAAGTGTCAGATATACAAGACTTACTCGGCCGGCGGCAATGACGGGGTTGTCCTTTCCGAGCAGCATGGCAACGGAGGCAGCGCTGAATTGCTCCAGACCTGCACCAAAACGCGTTACGGAGATAAAGGGTCTTGACAGACAGTCGGACAACAAAGTGATCCTGTAAGGGTTCCGTTTTTTTCATTTTAAGATACAGAACCCTAAATACTGTAATTAAATTCTACATTTACTTGTGCGGATGTGTGATACAGGCATGCATTCTTCGAAGTTCGTAAAATCAATAAAAATAAAGTTTATTTATTCAGAATAGCAATAGAGTATACTTGTTGCTCAAGCAAGCCTTTATCAATAAACAACGTGTGCGCAGGTCAGTGGGGTCGCTTGCTTATATTTATATATCATAAGTGATCAAAGATTATTGAAACATTTCTCATCCAAACAACATTTCATAATTTCTTACACAGTTATGCTATAATACAAAGAAAATGACATATTTTTGCGGCATTATTTGTTTCAATCTATCTTTTATCATAATCAAAGCTCTTTAATGCTATCGGTACTATTATTTAATATTGAATTATCTTATCACGTAATAATATTGCTATTAAAACACGTAATGCTTAATCATAACATATACTTCTTCAGCTATACCTACTGCAAAACTTAAAAACAAATGAACCAATTTTTAGGCCGGTTCCACTATCAGCTTAATAGTTTTCCACAGAAGGTTAGAATACATGCCCGAGAACAAAAATTCAGTATTTTTTTATAAAATGACTAACGGGCCGCCCGCGACTTCGTACGCGTGGAGTTAGTTAGAAATAAAGGTTCACTGCTCGTTCCCCGTAGGTGATAGCGTGATAATATGTAGCCTGACCCGACTTCTTAATAATATTCGTGCCAAATTTAAAATAAATCCATGCAGTAATTTTTGAGTTTATCCCGGACAGACAAACAGACAAAAATTCTATAAACTATATTTTTGGCTTCAGTGTCGATTGTAGATCACACCCCAAGTATTCTTTTTAAAAAATATTCAATGTACAGTTTTGACTTTCCTACCATTGTATTATATGTATAGATGTAGATCCGAGTAATTGACTCCATCCTTTATATTTAGTGGCGGTGGAATCCAGACACGAACATAGATGGCAACAATACGTATGTCGCACCAGTCATCCTTACCTTGGCTGCCAGCCTGGTAGTTGCTTCTTTACGACTCTTATAAAGAACCCCCATTTTATTTTGTGTGTGTGTATGCTGATGGTTGCAGATGACCTTTACAGCGTTACCGAGTTCTGGGACGGCGAGATCCTAAGGGGACCTCAAGCCGAGAATTGGCGAGTGCCTCTAGAGGTATTCCAATCGGATGGCATCTCCCCAAGGTGGGAGTCTCCTCTCCGTCTGGAGCCTCTAGACCACTCGAACCTGAGGGGATCGGCTCAACTAGAGGGCGTCTCTGAGACTCGGACCTCGACTCTAGTTAGCCGTTGTCGTGGGGGACGGGGAGCAAGAACCCCCGAGTTGTACGAGATTGCGACAAAAAAATGAGTAACCAAGTAACTGTTACAGTTGCAGTAGTAGCCACATCAGTAAACAGTAAGTCGATGCCAATGTAGGCCAACGCGCTGGTCTTTTGAAAGGAAATGAAAAGGTGAGGTAAGGGAGAATAACTCCTTAGAACCTACGCCGACTTAGAGGCTATATGACGCCACATCTCGGGCGTAATTGTAAAAGCTACGCGATTTAGAAGTTGTCAGATATCTCGAAATCGCGAAGGATACGACGGATTTTAATATCATCTGTGACGCGAGCGACCAGTGGGACAGCAGCACCAGTTTCTATAGGTCTCCCTGACCGAGCGGCGGGTCGTTGCAGTACTTTCGGAAACCGTTCAACGGATGTCTCCCTTAGACCAAATCTGACGAGACAACGTCCATTAAAAGTCTGTTTGTACGCTAGCTGACCCAAAAATGCGCTCTAGGAGCATTTTCAGCGCGCTGACAATGATAACTAACCAAGCGGGTTTTAAACGTCCTACCATCTAGAGCAGATTCTAGCTCCGATTTCCCCGTAATCGACGATTTGATCTCCTATAAACGCCATAGGCCGCGTACAACGCCACGTCATACGCCGCGTCACTATGCTTACTATACAAACGCACAAAACGCGCGCGCGTCTCCCACGCTCTTGCCGCCACCCCGATGGCGTCCAGACCCTTTCCCCCTCAGACCTCATACCGCTAAAAAGATCTATATATCGTCTACTGTACATGTCAAACCACGTGACGCGTCAAGTCTCATCTTTCGTGGCGCGTATTGTATTGCAGTGGTCTCTTTCATACGCTGACGTCGGTGTGTGGACGTAGAGTATCGTGACGCGACGTACGGGCGTGGCGCTTTTAGCGGCCTAGGCCGAAGAAACTTCTAGAAGAAAGGCGCAGGTTTGTATTTTGTCTACGTCAATCTACACCAAAGCAAAGTGAATGTGGCGGTCACTAGTTCAAAAGATTATAATTTAATTTAAAAAAATAGAATACAAAAAAACGAGGATATTATTTAATCTTACTAATATTATAAAAGTGAAAGTTTGTTTGTTACTCAATCACGCAATAACTACTGAATGGATTTACATAAAATTGGGTAGGTATAAATATAATTTATGATGATTGAGACATAGGATACTTTTATCCCGGAAATGCGGAATGTTCAAGAAACTTAAGTTAACGGGGGCGAAGTCGCGGGCAGTCCCTTGTATTAAATAAATAAAAAAAATATGGTATTTTTATTTATCGATCAACAGGTACTTGGTACTGATTTCCAATATTAACATAGCATAAAGTTATAAACACATGAAATTAATTTTCATACCCATGCTACCTTGACAAGGAAAGGAATCAATTTCTACTCAGCTATTAGTTATGAATAGGCTATTTTGTATTACAAGACAATAGTTAAATATGGTGAAAGTAATCTGTAAGTTGAACAACAACTGATTCGATTTGATAATATTATTTTGTAAATAATAACATAACAAAATAATTCTTTTTCAATTGGAAGATTTAAGCCGTATTAACATTACGAAATGAGTGGCATGTAAGTAGTTACGTAAAAGTAAATACTTTCTGGTGTAAAAAATTAAACAAAACATAACACGTGAAATTGTTGATGAAATTAATGTCAACGGAACTAATTTCATGCCACTAATTTCGTAATGTTAATTCTTTTTCAGGGTCAATTCACACTGGAATGGCAGCGGCCGGCAGCGTCGCGGCGAGCTTTCTTACTGAAAGCAGTGTGGAATAATTTTAAACATCTATACTAAATATTTATAAAGTCTAGTATCGCTTGAAAAGGCTCCACGGTGACGTGAGCAAGCCTATTGCGTTGGCCCTTACTATGCTGTTACAAGTGCTGTTGTTAGATACAAACATTTATCTTTAATATGCAAATAAACAGCATGTGCGACAAAACTGATCCTTATGGGAAGCCAGGATTTATGGGACACTGAAGGACTTCTTACAAGAAGAGATATATTCATTTTCATTTGATAATGTAATTTTTCAAACCCGGACTACGAATGAAACCCCGCCCGGATGCTCCCTGGACGCCCTTTAAACTATGAAAAATCCAGGGAAACCTGGACAGATTGTAACCCTATTTCTTGCATTGTTCAGTTAAAATTTGACAAGCCACAAGTTACAGCGAAAAAGATCTTACAGTTATAATTTTCTGTTCACTTCATTTTTATACATTTTATGGCTCTGGGCTTTTACTTATTTGCAGCAATAGTAAAAATATTACATTAGTTGTATTGAATAAGATTTAGATAGTAATATCAGCTAAAATAAATAAAATATAAAATACGTTATAAGTGACTCTCTCAAATATTTATTTTTTGGGTGTTCCAATATCTATAATATCAATATCAATGAATTTAGGTGAATCCACAAAATCATTGGCACTCTTTAAATTATTTAAACAAACGCCTCTCTTAATCCTAAACATGTCATTTAAATAAAAGTATTGTAAGTTGGCATATTAAAATGAAGTAAGTTTCAACAACTACCTACAACAATGAATGTTACTGAGTGTTCTAAGTGTGCCACTGATTGCTAACATCCATCAACACATTGTTTGTTACACAATTACTAGCATGTTAAACTGCTTACGGTGACACAAAATTGACTGTGTAAATGAAATTGTTTTACTATTGGTATTTTTTATTTGTACCTATAAATAATACTCAGCAAATAACTCCCCCCACATGATGTATATTGAGTGTGAGATGAAGACGCAATACTTAGCTGGTGCAGCTGCTGTGGTACGGTTATAAGTTACATAATAAGTAACCCATTTATAAACATTCTTAAGTGATCCAAAACAGTCTTTCCAAAATATCTGTATTAGATGGTGAAATAAATTATCATCTATTTGTAAGTTTTCAAACTTTTTATAGAGAACAACATTTTTTATATGAAGTTGAGCACACAGAAAAGAAAATTAAATTTAGGTTTGCTTTTTAATCTGGTATTAAATACTTCATGAAGCAACTTAACATATAAGTAGATATGTGTTTTATATAATGCATTAATTATATTTTTCACTTACCAAGCACAGGCAGATATTCATGTAGGAGGGTTGGATCATCTGCCATTTGTTTCTCCATCTTGCGAACTATAGGCAGTACCCATGGTTTACCATGTTCATCTCTGTAAGCTGCAAGTTAGAAATAGTGAAAGAGGTTTTATTAATTCATTTTTCTTTTTAATTAGGCATTAAATTGCTAAATTTTAGTTTATTAAGATTGGTTGCAAAGCCCAAGGTCTTCGGATTGGGGATGTTTTTCTCATCTTGGGGGATATTATATATATAACAACTTGTGGTATTGAAATCTTTGGGGAACACTTTGGGAACAAATGTTTTTTGTGGAAAATTCTAAAATGCGCGTGAAGGAATGAAAGGGGTGGAAAACTAGACTTTTTATTTAAGCATTTTAACAATGACACAGTATTTTCAAATGAAAAAGAACTTGAAATTTTAATATTATTTTATTGTTGATTTTTGTGAAAGAGGATGTTTTTATGTGGACTTCTTTGAAAGAATGTGAAATGAAACTCATTTCATTAAAACATTGATATTTATTAAAAAGTTCATTTGAAATTAATGATTTCATCATGCTAACCCTTATTTTGAATAGTTTAAAATAACTTGGTTTGAATAGTATAAAGTAACTTGTAAGTGAGACTGAGTTGACGTTTAAGTTTCAGATTTTAATGTTAATAAAAGTATAAAAGGAACCAAGTCATCTGATGTGGAAAAGCTCATAATAATAAAACGATATGCCTTTGAAAGGGGTTGCCGTTGACAATAAATAAGTTACATAACAGGATTCGAACGTGGAAATAAATTAACTGAATCTTACCTCCAACACCTAAGTTTACTTTGTTCTGATAAGAATCTTCGACACACAGTTTATTTAACTGGAATACTTCGATCGGCGGGCCGAGTTCTACGACTTGAAAGCGCGAAGCCATTTCTTACAATTGGAGAAACGTCCGGTGTGAGCGAAGTACGACGGCGCTATACGCGATCACGAATAAACCCAGTACGATGCTTAAATTGAATGTAACCTACTAAAGTAATTTACAAAAAAACAACGTTTGTATTGCTATTTTGCATTTATTTTACAAAACCGTTGACCTTTCACCGTCAAGTCAATGTCAGTAACGTCATTTCTTTCATCATTTTGATAGGTACAGGCAAAGAGTAGTATTTATATTAAGCACAGGATCACCACACAAGTTACTTACAAATTACCATAAACTTTAAAAATTTCTCAATAGATTATGAATAGTATGCTGTATAGAATAAAGCTCAAAGTCGACTAACTTAACCTGGCTTTTGCACATTTAAAATGCCGGCTATGGTGTTGGCTATTTATGCTTTTTTTTAAGATTCTCCTTTTAGGGATGGCAAAGGAAACAATGCCCATACAGCCTAGTCTCAATCTTCCTTTTTTTTACATTACAATGTCGGTGTGACGCATTCTAATGCTTTTTATAATGTTTGGCACAAAATGTATCGAATTGGCTTTTTCGACAAGCTTCTGTGAGGTAGCCAACACTACAGTAAAGGTCTCACGTCCACTTGAACGAAATAGCGTATATTTTAAAGATTCCACTAATTCTTCAGTTGCGCAGATGGTTGTAACTCAAAATCACACCAATTTTATTTCACAATGATGTCGATTCTGGCATGATTCTCTAAACCTAAACTTAAATTTGACAACAGTGCATCCTTGTCCTTCTCTATACAGAATGAAAAGGTGAGACTGACCTTTAATTTAGTTTTAAGTTTAGAGATGCACGCCAGAATTGACACCAATATCCACTATAAACGAATTTATTTTAGAATAATTAAAATAAGACGCCAACCGCACTCGATAAAATCGCGCCAAAAACCTTTTTGTTTTCTTTTTTCTGTGGCTACAGCCACAGTGGAAAACAAATATGTACTAGGGAAACAGAATGATTTTAAAGCAAAAGTATACAAAATACTAGGAAAAAGACCAGGGAGTTAGAAAGAATGTGAATTACAGGGAATGTACATATTATACAAAATTTACAAATAAATTAATCTAAATATCGTTTCTAACTTTATAGTTTCATATTATTTAAAAGAAGAAAGGAAACAGTACACTTTTAAACAGCTGTGTCATTTAATACTAGAAGTAGGGTAGGGATACATTTGTGGGATATGTAGCGAGATCAGGCTATTGAAAAGAGGGTTTTATAGAAACGAGGACAGGAGAAGAAGATGTGGTTTAAATTCCTCTCATCCAACTCACACTCGCAAATAGGACTATTAAGTATACCAAGCTTCGCAAGATGGAAACCTAATCTTGTAGATAAACATGTACATATATAACCCCTAATCTTAATCGGATTGTCATGAAGTTTCCATTTTGCCCAGCTTGATTTTCCAAAAACATGGTATTAAAGATATGACTTTTTGAATCTGTGCATACAATCTACCTCCACTATGTTGGCTTGTGTCCCACAAGGTTTGCCATGCATTTTTAAGATACAATTTTGGAAGCGACAGCAAATCTTGACTATAATTTTCATATGGCACAATATATCCGCATGTTATTGCTTCTTTAGCTAGTTGATCAGCCTTAGTATTACCATCGATCCCACAATGACTAGGTATCCATGAAACGAAAGGAATAACAAACCATGTAGTCTTGCACTCATAAATTAACTCACGAGTAGTAAAAAGTACAGGGGAATGTAGTTTAAATTTGAAAGGGAATTTCTCCAAAGCCTAAAGGGTACTTTTGGAGTCGCAAAATATTAGAGTTTTCGGAAGTTTCATGAGTCGAACATAGGCCAAAACACTCCTGTGTATACAGAATACTCCGGAGGAAGTTTTATTTTTTGCACTATTTGGAATTGTGAAAGAAAGACACCAATTCCTATACATTCTGACGAATTGTACTTTGATGCATCACAAAATACATAATGGAACCCATTGAATTCAGATTCCAAAATATGTTTTAGGTTTACAGAGGCATAGTTATCTTTATTGATCAAATCATAATGGACATGAAACAGGTGTAAATAGTTTGACTTATGTGTGAGAGATGTGAGTGAAATGTATTTCCTTTATCTAACTGACTATGAGGCAAGGAGGAGATTTATGCATCCAGTAACTGCTTGTGCTAATATTTTCAGAGAGTGCTTGCAGTTGCTATAATAAAGCGTTCGGTATGAACCCAGCCTTTGATCCAGCGTGGACAATGACCACCCGCTGTCCTTTGGAGATGGGTTTTTTGAGACCTTTCGTAATACCATCGGTCCAGGCTTTTGAAGAAGAGTGCGATAAATCTACGTATGGTTCATCGGTATATACGATAGGCCTTCACTCTTAGCGATATGGTTTTATTTTGCGTAAGTATTTATTACGTTGCAAACGTATTTTTGAAGTTTCAATCAGTACTTTTCGGTTGTTTTCAGTATTTTTCCACCGCAACCCTTAATTATTCGTCGTAGACTCCGTTCTGATCCTTTGAAATTTATATCTTCCGCTAGCTTCTTCTTCGGATTTCTGCCGCAGGCAATGCACGTTCTTCCGCTGACCGGGCGGATGCGCTAACCGCTCGCTATAATACTACTGTTACCGTAATTTTCGTATTTTCTTTTTTTACATCATAATTTGAACTTGACTTATAGGAACATGAAAATTTATCATATAATAATATGTCCCACTAATAGGAGAACGTGGAACCGGGTTATTATACGTCATTGGGTTGAGTGGGTGGAATCATTTGTTCGAGCCAGTGCGGACCTACCTTATATAAAAAACGGGCTATTAAGTGCAGTGTGAATTAAATAAGAACTAAAATAAAACAAGACTGTTTATAAGCCAACAATTTTATTTATTGCACCGTCACTGAACCTCGTACGTGTTAAAATTGTGTATATACAGGATTTTTTAACTGACACGCTCGTGGATCGGTGGAGCGTACAACTGTGTACACTGATTTATATTCCTTATTATCACCATCAGTTTTCTTGTAATTATACAATCCATATGCCGCCATACCTATTCCCATAAAAGCCATTGCAGTGGAAGCAACAATTTCGGGAATGTGCCAGCAAGCTTTCTTAAAAAGCCCAATAACAGTATTAGGAAATATTATGTTATGACCAATTACTTTCGGTTCGGGTGTCATTGTAAGCGAAGACTTCACTAGGTAGTTAGTTTAAAGAAATGCAAGTTTTGATTTCTACCATTTTGTTGGTAGGTATTTATATTTAAATCAAAACTGACAATGACTGACACATTCATTCGTTGATTTATACAAATCAGGTTAAGGAGGCTTTATTCTAATTTTCTCTCATTCTTATTATTTTTATTTCTTTGTCCTTACGCTGTTACTGTCAGCCCATCACTAGTACCTCAGGTCATCAGGTGCCTGGCTGGGTTATGAGAGGTAGGGCACAGCGGATTACCAATCGTCTGGGGAAGTAACCTCTACCTTACAGAAGGCTACAGTGGTAGTTTTGCAATTACAGCACTAGAGCGCATTATGCGGCATAATGCTTAACGTTTCAACTTTCAACTACAGCAACGTTTCGCACAATCGAGCACTCTCAAAAGTAATGTTTTCGTGTGATGCGTGCAATCGATACCAACTCAGTGACAGAAAATTAACGTGTTTTTACATTAAGTTGGCATTGATGGAAATGTTTTATTTATGTATTATGGTATATCGTATACCTTGCGTATACCACTTTATTTACACATTAATGAGGTTATTGCTAACTCTATGAATATTTTTGTTTTCAACACTGAACTTAGCGCACTCTGCTGTAGGCTTGTTGAAAATATATCGATGTATCGATATATAGATATTTTTTGTTCGATATATCGATATTTTAGCCGATGTATTTTGATTCGATATATCGATACATCGATACAAAATAACCAATATCGAAATTCGTATCAAAAACGATATTTTTTTAATTATTAGCGGCATACCACGATATAACTAAATTCGTATCTGGAAAAATCGTAACTGGATCTCAAATTAATGATATTCAACAAAGATATCTATGATCTGAACTGTATTTAGGAGCGTCTATGATTTGTAAATCTGTTTTGCTGGTGAATTGGTTGTATTGAATTCCATTGTATTCTGTGGAAGTGTGTGACTGTCTAATCTTGTTTATTATTCCGCGTGTCATCTTTCGTGAGATACTGTACTGTCATGTAGTGTAGCGGCAATTTAGTACTTTGATATTCCTTTCTTTAATTATAATTTGTATTGTTATTATTACTGTACTAGGCTGACTTAAATATGTTTTTGGGAAAATTGGTCCGATATATCGATGTTTTTTTTCGCGATATATGGAAGCCGATGTTGATATTTTTTTAAATATCAATATATCGATATTTTTTTCAACTTTCGACATCCCTACTCTGCTGGTGCATTTGAAAACTAATTCACGTTCCAATTAAGCATCAGCATAATTCGGCATTGTGCACCACCCACTGAGTCGCATTATGCTCTATAATTGGAAAACTAACAATCTTATTTGTTCATAATTACTATATTCAACACCTCTATGTTCAACACTGAACTTAGCGCACTCTGCTTAGGCTTGTTGAAAATATATCGATGTATCGATATATCGATATTTTGTGTTCGATATATCGATATTTTTTGCCGATATATTTTGATTCGATATATCGATACATCGATACAAAATAACCAATATCGAAATTCGTATCAAAAATGATTTTTTTTTAATTATTAGCGGCATATCACGATCTAACTAAATTCGAATCTGGAAAAATCGTAACTGGATCTCAGATTAATGATATTCAACATATCTATGATCTGTACTGTATTTACTATTGTCTATGTCATCATTCGAAAATAGGGTCTATTTTTAGGGAGATAATTTTCGTTCCATTATTATTCCGCGTGTCATATTTCGTGAGCTACTCTACGATATTTTTGGGAAAAGTGGTCCGATATATCGAAGCCGATATTGATATTTTTTAAAATATCGATATTTTTTTCAACTTTCGACATCCCTGACTCAGCTGGTGCATTTGAAAACTAATTCACGTTCCAATTAACCATTAGCATAATTCGGCATTGTGCGCCACTGAGTCGCATTATGCTCTGTAATTAGAAAACTACCAGTAAAATAAAATTACTTTGAGCTTCTGTCGGTGAGTAAGGCCAGGACTCCACATGGTAGAGAATTGTGTTAGTGTCGGCAACGAAACGAATGATATTTTTTGTATCGCAAGCGTTTATAGGCTGTGGTTAGCCGCTTACCATCGATGGTTTCAAGGGTAGAGGCGGCCAGCAGCTGGAGCCAGTCCTTATTGGTCCCTCGTGTTTGAACTTTCGCTTACATTATTAACTCTAAAGTTACATTGGTGTCGATTCTGGCATGATTCTCTACACCTAAATTTTAATTTGACAACAGTGTATCCTTGTCATTCTTTATACAGAATGAAAAGGAGACACTGATGTTAAATTTAAATTAAGATTTGTTGATAGAAGAAGATTAAAAATGAAAATTTAGATCCGAAATTTGAACTTCAGATCATTGGCTTGAATGGTACAACTTATACAACAACGCCACTGCGTCGCTGATCGAGGTGACAAAATTTACGTAGATATTTATCTTGTTTTACGTTTATGTTTACCTATGAGTTACCGATGGCACTAATCATAACATGAAATCGTAACACATTCGCTAGTTTACCCCCAAGTTAGGCGTGCCTAAAGAAGTTTCATTTCAAAAAACAAAGAATACTGAAGAGTAGGCTGTATATGCATTCTTCCCTTTGCCTTCCCTTAAAAGGAAGAACGCTAAATGTCCTCCTGTCACTGAAAAAAGAAAATATTTAGCACAAGGAGGTTACCTCTAGATATTTTAATTCATAAGGGAAAGTGATTTCTGAAGCTTAATAAATGGCTGCTATTGGCCCTAGACGTACACTAGCCCAGCTACTGAAGCAGGGTTATAGTGAAATACCAGAAATTATTTGTTCGACTGGTATCGCTTTAGTTGGTGTAGGTCTTGCAGTCATTGGGCTATACAATTACTCGAAAAACGATGGAGACAATAGAAGATACAAGATGACCTATGTTATTATGCGACCAGATGACCCAAGAGCGAAATTGATCCGAAAAGATTGAACTGAAATAGCCAAGCTTGTTAGTGAACATATAGATTGAATTATGTAATAAAGTGTGATTGATGTCTGCTTTGTTTTATCGTTTCGTCTTTTTCTCCTTCCCTTTGAACTATTGTTCTCTCCGTTAGGAGTACTTTTATTCTATGATGGTTTGTGTTTATAAAATTATATTAGTCACTGGAAATCTGGACTGTAACACCAAAGAGACTGAATAATTTTTCATCAGCTGGACCAAAAATTCAAAAACTGCAAATAATAACATTGCTAGTCTTTTTATACTTAACTAGCAGTAAATATTTTCTTTAAATAATTGTATGCTTGAAACTGGCCATTATACCTAACATTTAAAATGATTTCTCCAAAAGCAGTTAAAAAGAAAATTGCTAAAATTTTCATCAAAATACATTTTACTTTGAAATTATTAAATATACAAGTGGCTTTATCGAGTCATATCTACATCAATATTTTCATCAAATTTTAATTTTATGGTGATTGTATTAGGTGTTGTTACATCAGCAACCAAGATCTCAGCTCCATTAAATAGACCCAGTTCTGTAATTTTTTTCTTTAGGTTATCTCTTGTTCTTTCTTCAATACTCTTTACTGATGCCATGTAGAGAGTTTTGTTTCGACCATTAATTACAGTAGTAATACCTGAAATAATAACAATAGTTTTTAAGTTTAGGTTTAGAGAATCATGCCAGTATTGACACCATTGAGAAGCTAAATTCCATGTTTAAAAGTTCAACATTTTACAAAAGCGAAACTGATAATAAAGAAAACATATGTACCTGGACTCTTCATCAAATAGGCCTGGTCTTCACAAAGTTTGTCATATATTGTTTGCAATGTAGCATTAGACTCGAGCTCCAGTACTCTAGTTGTGTTACTACATGCTACACAGTCTGGGCGTCGTTCTGCATTAAATGTGTAAGAATACACCCCATCTGCCATATTTAGCACCATGTAATTATTCATGTTTGTGCAACATGAAGTAGCCAACTTAAACACCTATAAAAATTAAGATATAAAGAAAAAATTCTAAAAGTTTTTAATTCCAAATCCTATAGAATAATCTTATACCTCTGTAGCACATGCAGCTGCAATTGCAGCATTAGTGCTTGCAACTGCAGGGATAATGTTTTTCAAAACTCCTTGGGTGAGTCTGTAAGTTACATTTGTTATTCCATGTTTGATGGCTCTCTCTTGAGCCTTTTCCAAGACCCAAGCAACATGCTGAGGATCATCACCATCCAACTGAGTAGTGGCACCCCAAGGATTCTCTTTAGCCCACTGAATCACCTTCACATACTCTACACAGTGCTCTGGTAATCTGAAAATATTTATTATACAGTGATACTCGTAATGTTTAGTATGACATAACATTCATTTTTATGTTTTATTTACCTTGGAGTATTGGCAATAGTGCACAAAGGGAAAGTCTTCTGTGGCGGATATAAATCTAAGGTGCACTCAATGCAAGCACTCATGCCTGGCAGAATCAATCTTGCGTTTCCTTTGAATCCTTCAGTACCTCCATCCACTAGTGGTATTACACTGCTTTGATCCAAACTTCCTACAGAAATACACAAATATATAAATAACAAATCATCTTTTTTCCTTCTTATATTACAACAAAGTCAGGACTGAAACTCACTGTCATCATTGTATTGCAGTAAGGACATTAGCATTCCATTAAGCCATCGGCGGGCAACTATGGAATCCAAACCACAGACCACAATGTGGAATTGACGGTAGAATCCTTCATCCAAATCTTGTATAGCACAGTGGTGTGCTACAGCTTTACAACCAGGAATTCTGTAAGAATGTACTTTTCATTATATTCTATAATAACCATTTTGGATGATCAGAACATAAAAATTTAATTTAATGTTTCAAAAAGATTTTTGAAACATTATTGTAAATAATTTTTGCGTAGTAACATTTTAGATTTATGACTTTAGCAGTTTAATGCTGAAAATTAAAATACAACCACATTATTATAATTCACCTTTTATTAACAAACTCCACAGCACATTTTGATTTTGATAAGCCAATATCAGTCTTTCTGAATAGGAACTGTCTGTTCAAGTTAGACAATTCAATTGTGTCCATATCTACAATATGAATTGTTCTGAATCCCATCAAGGCGAGATCTTTTAGAAGCTCGCAACCTAAACCGCCCGCACCTACAATTAGCACTTTGCAGCAGCTCATGATAAAATCTAATATTTCAGGTGAAGGCTCAAAATCCGGATGACAAAATGGACCTGATCTTTCCAACAGTTTTCGTATATGCTGCCATTTTCTCTGTTGATAGTCATTTACCGATTGTGTTTCTCCTGAAGACATGTTTAGGTCAAGTTCTGTAAAAGATGGAATGTTCAAATAAATTGTAATATTACTTTCAAAATAATTAAGCACAGGCATAAATACTACAGTGCACATCACGGATGGGCGCTTAAGGTCAGGGTATAGTAAAAAAATATTTGCTTTTAACTTACTTGTGTTTTCAATTTAAGCAAGCAAGCTAAAAGCCGGTGTTTAAGTATAGGTACCAATTTGTTCAAAGTTTGGTTACAACTTATTAAGAAATCAAACAGAACTTTAATTTCTGTATGATGATATGGTTTTTTAACTATTTATCGAAGAAACCATTAACAGAAACTTTCTAATTGGATTGTATTTGGAATTTCAGAAATTCATCTGATTGATTTTTTTTTTTTTTGTTGAAGTTCTCCCGTTTTAGGGAAGGCAAAGGGAACAATGCCCATACAGCCTAGTCTTTAACTAAATTTATCTTCTTTTTATTTTTACATTAGAATGTCGGTGTGACGCATTCTAATGTTTCTTGGAGTGTTTGGCACGAAATGTATCGAGTTGGCTTTTTCGATAAGCTTCTGTGAGGTAGTCAACACTACAATAAAATTCTCACGTCCACTTGACCGGAATAGCGTATATTTTAATGATTCCGCTAATTCTTCAGTTACGCAGACAGTTGTTACACAAAACCACACCAATTTTATTTCACAATATCCACTATGAACGAATTTAAGAATAATTTAAATAAGACGCCAACCGCACTCGATGAAATCCCGCCAAAAAAGCCCTATTTGATTGAAAATGACAATCGATGAAAATCTTTTATGCCGGCACTTCACATGGTAACATTATTATTAGTTCAGATTATTTGTAAGCTTGACAATGGTGTCGATTCTGGCATGATTCTCTAAAGCTAAACTTAAATTTGACAACATTGGTGTCGATTCTAGCATGATTCTCTAAACCTAAACTTAAATTTGACAGTAGTATATCCTTGTCATTCTCTATACAGAATGTAAAGGAGAGACTGATGTTAAATTTAGTTTTGAGTTTAGAGAATCACGTCAGAATTGGCACCAGTGTATCCTTGTCATTCTCTATATAAAATAAAAGGACAGACTGATATTAAATTTAGTTTTAAGTTTAGAGAATGATGCCAGAATTGACACCAATATTCTCTCTTTATTACTCCCTATGAAGTATGATATGGGCACCACCTTATGTAAAAGTGACAAACAACAAACATGAATAGCATTGTGAATTATACACCGGATTTTTAAAATAGATGAACGCGTAAAATGTTACCGCAAGTAATGCCAAACCTTACTTGGCAGTCCGGTTTTTCTAATGCTTATTTGCAAATTTGACGTCAGTCCGTCCTTTTCGTTCCTTATAAAGCATGATAAGAACAGACTGTTGTCAATTTTATAAAAATAGCTAACACGAACGCCAAGTGAAGTGCCGGTATAAATTTACGAATAATAATTTGAAACGAAACACATGTATGCTATCTACCAATCAGATCTCTATGGTATCTGTGTGAAAAAGGCGGGAAACGTAAGCGTAGGAGAGTTAGGCAGGCGGGCCCCGTGATTGAATATAATTTTTTTACGACCACTTTAGTATTAATTTCATTTTTTATGGCTACTAGCCATAGTCAATAATATTAAAAATTCAAATGGTTGTGTTGTGTTGTAAAATAAAATAGGCTAGTTGACCCTTTTTTGCCCGACTGCGCAATGCAAGAGCGCGAAGCGCGACGCGCAGACAGGGTATAGTGTTTGGAAAAATGTTTTAACCTACGCAATACCTGGTTAGAACTTGCTTAAAGGGATCCTGCAACTTTATCGGCTCATAAAAAAAAATATTTTTGCGAAGATCACTTTGATGTAAGTACTCATTGAATAATATTTTAAGTCTCCATATAATATCAGTTTTAATTATACAAGTTTTCAGGTTATGTATGAATGACAATTAGTTGTTTACTACCAAAGAGACGTCACAATCATGGCGGATGTGGCGAACTGCGTTTTCAGTGTTTAAAGAGTATAGACTAAAAATTATTTTTTAAAATTAAATTTCTTCAGCAATCTTCTGGTTTCATGAAGTGAAATCGATCTATTTAGGTTACATATCCAGGGTGAGCAGAACAGAGAGCTTTCAATGACTTTACAAACCTATACCTGAAGTGTTTCTGAAAGTTAGTGATAAGAAAAAGGAAGTTAAAGGGCGATCAAGAGTTAATGTTGCGAGTTTTTTGTATCATACTTTTATTTACATTATTATCTTTGAGATAGAATTAGTACAACCACCTTTCTTAAAAAAAAAAGACGGGTTGCAGTCCGGGAGTGCCGGCAGAAGTGAAAACTTGAATATTAACATTGTGCTTTTTTGATATTTTGGAATGGTTAGGGAATAATTTTGCATGAATTGCTTTAATTATCAGTATAAAAGTACTATCATTTATTTGGTAGAATACAATATTTATTTATTGCGCTATCGTACACAAACATGACAATTTAGAATTTTAGATTACATTAAAAAGTTTATCTCTCAGAAAAATCAACTAACATGAATCACATTTAAGCATTTTAAGCGCACCTAGCGACATCTACTGTTAAATAAATGAATCACATTTAAGCGCACCTAGCCTAACATCAATTGTAAAAAAAATGCATTTTCTTTGCAATAGAACTGCCACCTGGACGTCCTAGTTAGAAACTTATTATTATAATACGATAAAATAAAATATTACTAGGTTTTGTTCAATATATTGAAAGTCAACAACCTTTCCAATTTTATTGTTTTCGTCTTACGATTTTCCAATCAGGCCACGTGCCCTGACGCCAGTTTAATATTTTTTACCCATTACAAAAAAGTGTACAACGCCGGTAAAGAAGATTTCACTTCAAAAACTTATTAAATTATCAGCTCAGCTTACAGAACCTTTTGACCACACATACAAAGACAATGGCAATTTAGACTCGGAAACTATTCGAATTCGATATAGGTACTGTAATCTGAGATTATCAGATAATTGGTCTTTGTATGCGCGTGTACTAAATCATAACCCTGGCAAACTTCTAGAGCACCAACCATAGCAATTTTACATACAAAAATGTCTACAACGCAAAATTATTTGTCTGTGGTTTTTCTCAAGAAGTTTGCCGCTATCTTTACTAACGGAATTGACCGTTTTTTTTAGTCCCTGCTGGGGCACAGGCCTTCCCCATGAATTATGACAAAACCATACGGGCTGGATTGTTGGTTTCTAACGACTGCGTGTACAGCCGCGACCATTGAGAAAGTTGCTTCATTTCCACGATTGTAGACCTCCATCGAGCTCCTCATTGTAATTTTACTGAGGCGATTGTTGTGGCTTGAAGCACCTCTATGACCTTATTTATTGAAGTTTAGAAAAACAAGTGCTTCATTACTTTTCTAGTTTATTATGTTTAATTATTCTGGTCACTGTTGATATTATTTTGTTTCATTTATTACTAGTGGTTGCACCAATGACTTCGCCTGCGTGGAAAACGTGTTTTTTCCGGATTTTAAGAAAAGTAACATAGCAAAATCACCCTTATCTCCACAACGTAATCCACATATTCCTTCCGAGTGTCGTATCAGCGATATTTGCTCGTCTTCTTTTTATCTCAGAAGGGGTTGTTTATTGCGTTGCAGAGATAATGGTGAATTTGCTTTATTACGTTTCTGAAATTCGCATCTCTGCGCTAAGTACGAATTGAGTCTTGTCCTTTTCCGGGAATCAAAGATTATTATTATTATATCTATACAAAATTTTATCTAATTCGGTTCAGTAGTTTTAGCGTGAAGAGGTAACAGACAAAGACATTTTCGCATTCATTATATTAGTATGGAAGTTGTCGTCTTTTGTACCATTTTTATATTTGTTGGTATGTGTTCTAAAGTCTAAGTTAATAAATAAATGATCAGATTTAATGATTGCGACTGACGTGATGCAGAATGTAATTACGTGGTTATTTGAGCTAGGGTCAACGAATATATGAAGAAATAATATGGAAGCATTACTCTCTAACAAGGTTTGCTAAAATATGGATCAAAACTACTAACAACTTAATACTAACGCGACGTACAAAACAAAATACTTTGTCAAGATGAGGGGTAATGTTAAACGAAAATCCCGATCAATCCTATGATCAGCGTGTTGTTGATAGCATTTTTTTTGCCCCGCCCACTTGATCGCAGTTTGCGTGGAACCACTTTTAAGCACAGTTCGTATTCAGATGATTCGCGATACTATCGTTTTCATAGACTTGAATAAAATTACTGGTTGCAAAAAAATACTTTAATAATACAGCCTAAAATATCACTAACTTAATCGCTGGTTTCGGTTTGACACATTAAAAGTTGTGAATATCACTTTTTCTTCTTCTTTTCTTTACTGGTACCAGCCTTTTCTTTGCTCGTACTCGGTTTCTCTTTAGAATTGGACTTCTCCTTACTGGAACTTGGCTTTTCGGTTTTCTTCTTCTGCAATTAATACTTATATTAAATTTCAACTTCAATGGAAACAAAGTTTTGTTTGCATCTATTTTGCTAAAATCATAACAACTGTACGAGACATAAACATAAATAAAGTGAAAGACGGGTCAAACTACTAGTTGCCGCGTTTCTTAATTTTTATTTGAAATCGAAATCACCAAAGTTGGCTACAAGCGGGGAGGGTAAAGCCGCGTTTTGATTGGACACGTCAGTGTGTGACGTCATTTTCGGAAGACCAATTAGGTGAAACGATGTATCCGTTGGTCGACGTCTGGAGGCGGGGCACAGAAATACTATAGTCTGTTTCAAACGAATTTAAAGCGAAGGTAAACAAACACTTTACCTCTCAATTCCCAAGCAATGACTCACTAAATGGATTTCCCAACACATTCATTTACATTACTAGGGGTTTGACATATTAATTCACTATCTTTTATATCAGTTATTTTTTTATTAATTTATATAAAATCATAATTATAAACTCGAGTATATATAGTCGTGTGACGCTTGTTACGTATTTCCGTTTCATCTTTTCCATAGGATTTCTTCATTTACACACTGTCCTAAAAGAAGTTTCACTTAAAAAAAATACCTTGATAAGCGCATCGTTCTCCGGGTCGCTGTCGTCTGCGTCCTCGTCTGCTTGATCCTCGTCAAGGTCGTCGATTTCGTTGAACTCGCCGAGTTCGTTGTCTTCTTTAGCCCGACCTTTCTTAATGTTTCCGGGCGCATATGGTAACGCTGTAGCGGACTTGTTGTACGTACGCGTCATGGCGGCTTTCACCTTATGATACATTAATAATAAATTTTTATTGGATAAATACTAGAATGCAAATCAGAAGCGACCCTGACTCCTAAAAATATAGGATTAACCTGTGTAATAGGAGCCAGTATCTTCCAAAAAAAACGACACATTTACATGGTAATTCAGACGTGTAAAGCAATTAGTGTTTTAAAATTAGAAAGTTATTGGGAAAATACATGGTTATTGATACATATTTTCCCAGCGTGTGTGTGTTCGTGTATATGTGGATGTGTGTGTATGCGTGGTTACGTGCGTGTGTGTGTGTGTGTGTGTGCGCGCGCGCGTGTATGTGTTTAGTATCTCGAGGTGCCATAAACAAGACTCTACACCTTTCACATTGAAATGAATGAAAAATAATAATTTCATACTGGCAATTTACATGGCTATAACTAATTTACTGTTTTTAAAGTTGACAGCGGTCTTTTACCTTTCCTGTTGTGTATAAGTAATGATATACTGCTACTATCAGATGAACTAATAGCAAATACCAATAGGCACGCATTACATTCACACTATATTCAATCACACATTGAGACTTGTGTGATTGGATACTAGATGAGAGTAGAAATAATTATAATGATATATTCATGAGTATATTTTTGTAAAATATATAAAAACAGACATTATTTCGAGTTTTAATATTCGCATTCCAATGCAAACATTTAACCCTACCTAAGGTATCGAACCTTAGAGTAGGCGATACGTTACGAAAAGAACCTCGACCACACCTCACTAACTAACGTTCAACTACCTCGTGACTCATGTCACGTTATCATAACGTCACACTTTCGTGCGTGCAGACGGTGTTCATCGATTTATAAGACGTTACTTATCACATCAAAAAAAAAAATACCTTGGAATCGATCAACAGCATAGGGTTCCTTTGTCCGGGCCATAGAGACAGTTCAGTGAGAGAGTCCAAGTCTTCCCTCAGTAAGTGGTAGGCTTCCATCACTTCCAGAGACTTGGCGATGCCGTCGCCGCGATCTTTGATCAATGGGTTGACTATGGCGTCGCGAAGATGCGTGCAGTAGTCCAGGAATATTGATGATTTAGAACCGGAAGTACTGTTTATAAATAAATAACAAAATCAGTTTTTATACGTATTTGTAATCGTATCGTCGGGCTTACGAAACTGTCAAAGATCGTGCTTGTATTTTTTCTAGTAAAAATTTCTTTTGATATAAACATGTAGCAGTTAAATGCTTAAATAATGATAATAAACTATGTTTTCGTTTCTTTCTACGTTGATTTAATTATTAGTTGAATTTATGGATTAAAGGTTAATCAAAAGATTGATTATGGCGTCGCAACGGTGCGTGCAGTCCTGGAACATAGAAGACTTGGAACCAGGTGTACTGTTTATAATAATCAAAGAATTTTCTTAAATATGGTTTTTTTTCGTTCGTTGATTGATTTTTTTAAGTAATAAGTATATATTAATGAATGAATTTATGGGTTAAAGGTTAATCAACGGGTTCACTATAGAAAACGAAATTAGACCTTTTTATATACACTTTTTTAATCGCGTTCCTTAATTAATGGGTTGACCATGGCGTCGCGAAGATGCGTGCTATAATCCAGGAGTATTGGTGATTTAGAACCTGAGGTTTTTTATACGAGGCGCATTAAATTACCCTATCCCACCTGAAGTTAAGTGTAAGTGGAGTCTAGTCACGAAGACTGATTGATGATGCCTGCAGAAAATGTGCCGCTCCAATCATCCTCATCGCCCTTGATCCGTACTCAGCAGCAGAAACACAACTCCACCAAAAGGTAGTGTGTTATTTTCTAGTGATCTTCTATAAGGTGGGGGTTGCTTTCCTAAACGACCCCTCCAATTCGAGCGGGAAATCTGCAGTGTCCTGCCACTCTTAAAAAATTACTGTTTTTAAAAAGTCAACATTTCGATAAAAGTCCAATGCGCACCGCACATGTAGCGTAAAAATTTGAGATGCGCGCGGATTTTAAAATTTAAAAAACCAGGACGATTCTTAAAATCTATCCAGGACGTCCCAGGACACTACAAAAACTAGGACATGTCCTGGAAAAACAGGACGGTTGGCAACCCTTATCTAGGGTATTTGCGCGTGGATCTGCTGGCACAGGTGGCGCGTCTTGGTGGCGCGCGAGTTCCTCCCCAGCCAGCCCGGGAACTGGATCTGCCCCGCCACGTGCCCGCGCATCGCTTCAGCGACTATCACTGACGCACGGAGCACCCCCACTAGAGTCCGCATACTAGGGCAAGCGCTTACGCCAAGCTTAAGTAGTATTTTACCTATGCGTGAGGCACGCCTACAGACGTCGCGATACATCGTTTCATTCGGTAACCGAGCGTTGGTCGAACTGCTTCTCTCGTTTTCGTGTTAAAAAACTAAAAAATGCCGTACTGTGCAATTAAATTGTGTGGAAAGTCCAGTACAACTTCCAGTCTTCAAAAAAATGGTACTACTTTTCACTGGTTAGTTTAAATGCATTACAAAAAGACAAAAATACTGTTATATTAAATTGCTGTTAATTGTATTTATTTTTTGGTGAACGCGTTGATGTCTTTTTACACTATCCCTTTCTCGCATGGGCTACATCATATATGCTATCTCGCTCTCACACCGGCACGTGTATTGCTAGTGACTCAGACGCAGCTCATGTCTCAACGCGTAAGTTTATCGATAAGTTTGTCAGCTATGGAAATGGAAAAAATAAATAAAAACTATTTATTTCATCGTATACAATACAAGATGTCATAAGTATACAACCAACAGTTTTTATTTGACTTCAAACATATCCTAATAAAATAGAAAAAACGCGAAAATTTGTATGCATATTTGTTACTCTTTCACGCTAAAACAGTTAAACGGATTTGTATGAAATTAAGTGCGCATAGTTTATGACCTAGATAAAGACATAGAATTAACGATATTAAATACCCTAGATACACCACGAGCGCTCAAAATGTGTCCCAATCAAGAAGTGCTTAAAATCCACTCAAGCACTTCTTAGTACACAGTCACACGCGGACCGTTGAAAAGTCAAGATGCCAAAGAGTTCCGTGAAAAAATGCAGAAAAATACTAATAGTACGTAAAGTGTCGTTTTTTCGACGGGTATCTAATTAATGTTTTTTAATTAACGCCTTTAAAGCAAATTTTATTGTTGTAATACTTACTATAAACTGATTTAATTTAAAATATTTGTGATATTCAAATGCATGGTCGGTTATACGTCGCCCTTAGCCATCTGTTTTCTTCGCGGTCTGTACATGCTATATTGCTAACAGCGCATTCAGAATTGCGCGTGAAAAGTCAAAAAAAATAAGGTCTATATTCTTCCACATATATAACAATAAATCGTAAAATTTTACGAACTTGACGCATGCATTTTAATTAAGACCTTATGCCGTATGCATTAAAGGTGACTTTCAATGTTTAAATAAGGCATTATATTGTTTTTGACCACGCGATCATCTTACGGACCTCCGTGGATCGTCCAATGTACCTTTTGGACACGTTTCGGCCACGATTTTGTTCGTGTTGTTGTATCTAGGGTAGTTAATATCGTTGCATTAATACTTCTTGTCCTGGACGTGTTTTTTTTATGTTGCTTATATATAATTCAGTATGTAGTAACTAGTCGCGTCATGTAATTAGAACGCTGGAAGAAAGTGGAGAGGGTATGATTACGCATTTGCGCACCTAAGTACTAGGCCTCTATTCTAAATTGTTTATCGATAGAAAATATCGATATTTTCTAAAGTCGATCTTACCCTCATCACTTCGCTGCACTGAGTATATGATCTGACCTTGACGCGTCCAATCACAGCGGGGCTGACCTCCCTGCACCCCACCGACTTTGGCGATTTTGATTCCAAACATTTAGAGATTCAATATTTACATGAGTCACTAGAAACATTATCTAACAAATATTCAAATGCACAAAAACAAATAAGTGAGCATATAAAATCAGCTTCAGAATTAGTTGAACTATGCAACTACAATGCAGAACGTTATGAGTCTTTAGTAAAAAATCAATTAAGTAGTTCTTTAAATCAATCTTCCTTGCAATCAACATCATCTGAAATTATAGAGGTTGTTAATAATAATAATAATTCTCAAACAGTTAAAAATTTTGGTGGTTCATCTGTCTGTTCTGGGTCAACTTGCAAAACATATAACAACTCCCCTGTGAGGTCAATCTGCACTACATATAGTACCTCTCCTTTCAAACCAGTGCTATCTGAGAACACAACTAGAAGTAAAACAATTATGTTCTCGGATAAGTTAGGATGCGGCTTTGGATTAATGTTAAGGAATTATTGTAATGAAAGAATTACTAATATATGTATGCCAGGTAAATCAATAAATGACATTATAAGTGAACTGAATCAGTATGATGCGGACAGTTTGACAAACATAGTTATTATGTGTGGTGACAGCTCTAAAATAAGAGCAAGAGATATGTATAGAAATATAGAGGTGCTACTTAACTATCAGTCTAGGTGCAAGTGTAAAATAATAATAAGCGCTTTCCCATATGCAGAAAATTTAACTAGGGAACAAAACAAGCGCATCTTTAATTTGAATTTAATAATTTATAATTTATTAAATAGTCATAGTGACAATTTTTTATATTTTGATATAAATAAATATATTAGTAAATTTAAGTTGACCACAGATACTATGTATCTTGCAAAAAAATATAAGACTCAGATAGCTACTTTGTTAGCTTTTAATATACAAAACTCAGTTATACATGGTATAACAAAGTCTATGCAACTGGATTGTTTTAGTGTCAGCACTAATAAAATTATTAATTTAGAAAATAGGGTGACCAACTCAAATTTAAACTGAGGGGTACGACAACAGCCAAATCCAACAAAATTAATATTATTTATCAGAATATTCAAGGGTTGGCTGGCAAAGATTTAGAATTAGAACTATTTGCAAAGAGCCAGGATATTCATGTTATCTGTTTATCTGAACACTGGCTTAAGTCTTCTGAGGTGTCTTTTAGCATAAACAATTTTCAAATGATAAGTGCATATGTTCGTACTGCAGCTATACACGGTGGCACATTAATTTTTGTAAATAAAAATATAAAAACTAGGGATAGGAAGGACATAGTTGGCCTCTCAGTAGAACGTATTATTGAGCTATCCTGTGTTGAATTCAGTGAATTTATTATAGTATGTGTATACAGACCCCCTCTAGGCAACATTAGTGTTTTTGAATCAGTGATGGAGAATGTTCTAAAAAAGTTAAAGTCTAAAAATAAGTTTTTGATTGTAGTTGGTGACTTCAATATTAACATTCTTGAAAATAATTCAATGTCAATTCGCCTAACATCACTATTCAAATGTTTTAATTTGGTACATCAATTTTTTGAGCCTACTAGAGTAACATCTCATTCAGCTACTTGTTTGGATAATATATTTACTGATTATAATCCAGTTAGTAAATCAATTATTAATTGTATCACATCAGATCATTACGGCTTAAAAATAACATATAATACAAATGACACTACTAAGCCCAAATTCATTGAATTAAGACCAGTAACAAATAAACGTTTAGAAAATTTTCAAAACAATATTGATGATAAAATGTTTCTAATGCCATGGACACATGAGGATCCTAATATTCTTTACGGCAATATGTTCACTTTGGTTAAGAAAGAATTCGATAAGGCTTTTCCGCTTAAAACTTTGAAATTAACTCAAAAGTTGAACTTCTGTGACTGGGCTACGTCTGGTATTTATAAAAGCAGAAATAAACTTTATGATTTGTACTACTTAAGGAAGTACAATCACTCTCAGGGTTTCATTGATTATGTTAAAAGGTACTCAAAAACATTCAAAAGTGTATGTGCAACAGCCAAATCCAATTACATAAAAAATAAAATCATAAAATCTAATAATAAAATTAAAACGACATGGAATGTTATTAATAGAGAAACTGGTAAAGAAAGAACCCTCGATGATGGGATCGCACTTAAAGTAGATAATATTCAAATTAAAACAAAAGAACAGATTGCCAATACTTTTAATGAATATTTTGTTAATATACCATTAATCACTACTTCTAATTTGAATTCGACGCCAGCGGGTGCTAAGAGTTTGCTAGAGACGTGTGTGCCTCGGTGTAATAACCTGTTTACGTTTAAACATGTTGATTTTATGGATATTATAAAATGCTTTAACTCACTTAAAAAGAAAAATACGTGTGATTTGTTTGGAATGTCTATTAAAATTACTAAAAGTATAATAACAGTTATCGCTCCTTATCTTGCAGATATATTCAATAAGTGTATTGATCAAGGTGATTTTCCAGACCTTATGAAATATAGTAAAGTTATCCCTCTCTTCAAAAACGGCATAAGAGATGATCCCGGTAATTACAGACCTATATCAATATTACCGGTATTAAGTAAAATTTTCGAAAAAATTATTTTAGATCAATTATTATCGCATGTCAGTTTGAACAAACTGTTACATAATAATCAATTTGGCTTTACTAGGGGTAGATCAACAACGGATGCGGGTGTTGCACTTATAAGACATATAATGGAAGCCTGGGAGAAGTCGCAGAATGTTCTTGGGGTATTCTGTGACTTATCCAAGGCGTTTGACTGCGTTGAGCACCAGACGCTGATGTTAAAATTAAATCACTATGGAATCAAAGGCGCAGCCCAAAACTTGCTACTATCGTATCTCAGTTCCAGAGTTCAAACTGTAGAGGTAAATGGTGTTAAGTCATCTGGATCTTATGTGAAAATGGGCGTTCCCCAGGGATCGATTTTAGGTCCGTTTCTATTTTTATTGTACATAAACGATTTGCCATTTTTTGTGGAAAAATTGTGTGAGATCGTATTGTTTGCTGATGATACTTCTTTATTATTTAAGGTTGACCGATACAAGAATAACTTTGACGATGTAAATAATGCTCTCTCACAAGTATTGCACTGGTTTAATGTAAATAACTTAAAATTAAATGCAAATAAAACCAAATGCATTAAATTCACTTTACCTAATGTTAGAAGCCAAACCATTAGAATTAAACTAAACAATGAAAACCTAGATTTAGTTGAGTCAACGATATTCTTAGGTATAACCATAGACTCGAAATTGCAATGGTATCCTCATATTTCTCTGCTAGCTGGTAAACTTAGTTCAGCAGCCTATGCCATACGTAAAATAAGACAACTTACTGATGTAGCTACTGCTAGAACTGTATACTTTAGTTACTTTCATAGTATTGTATCCTATGGTATTATTCTCTGGGGATCAGCAGCCGATATTGAAACTATATTTATCTTGCAAAAAAGAGCTATAAGGGCTATTTATCAACTTAGTTCTAGAACATCTCTTAGAGAAAAATTTAAAGAAATCGGGATTTTGACTGTTGCTTCTCAATTCATTTATAATTGCATACTTTTTGTTCGAAGCAATATTAACTATTATCTAAAACACAGTGACATACATTCTTTTAATACAAGGAATAAAAATAAACTCAAGATACCAAATTACAGGTTACAGAAGGTTCATAAATCATTTATGGGTCAAGGTATACATTTCTATAATAAGATTCCTATTGATATCCTTGATTTGCCTCCTCATAAATTTAAAATACACATTAAGAATTGTTTACTTAAGAAAGGATATTATACTGTCAATCAATATTTGAATGATAAAACGGCCTGGTTGTAATTTTACTTGTAGATAATTTTTCAAAAGTTATATTAAAACTAAGGCTCCCAGTTATAGAAAGAGTTTTGAAGAGAACCTTGCACTTACTCCCTTTCATATACTTGTTCATTTTATTTTGAAAATTGTTTCTTGCTATTTTGGGACTTATCTTTGCAGTTATTGTTAGTAAATTCATTGATTGTTACATATTTGACATTATGTGATGGAAGTTGACCTCAACACATGTTTGCAAGTTTGATGTCAACTTTCAATTGGACGACACTGTATGAAATAAAACAGGGAGAAAAAAGCAGCCCTTGCTGAGTTTCTTGCCGGTTCTTCTCAGTACAAGGTCTCCCGCCGTAGTTTTGCGAACCGATGGCGTAGCTTTTCGACATTCACAAGTGCTTGTAACAGCCTAGACTGAATAAACGATATTGAATTTTGAATTTTTGAAAACAAAATTTGTGTGATGCGGACTCTAGTGGGGGTGCTCCATGCACTGACGAGTACATATTATAACCTGAGCCTGGTGTGCGCGTGGATCTGCTGGCACAGGCGGCACGTCTTGGTGGCGCGCGAGTTCCTCCCCAGCCAGCCCGGGAACTGGATCTGCCCCGCCACATGCCCGCGCATCGCTTCAGCGACTATCACTGACGAGTACATATTATAACCTGAGCCTGGTGTGCGCGTGGATCTGCTGGCACAGGCGGCGCGTCTTGGTGGCGCGCGAGTTCCTCCCCAGCCAGCCCGGGAACTGGATCTGCCCCGCCACATGCCCGCGCATCGCTTCAGCGACTATCACTGACGACTACATATTATAACCTGAGCCTGGTGTGCGCGTGGATCTGCTGGCACAGGCGGCGCGTCTTGGTGGCGCGCGAGTTCTTCCCCAGCCAGCCCGGGAACTGGATCTGCCCCGCCACGTGCCCGCGCATCGCTTCAGCGACTATCACTGACGAGTACATATTATAACCTGAGCCTGGTGTGCGCGTGGATCTGCTGGCACAGGCGGCGCGTCTTGGTAGCGCTAGAGTTCATCCCCAGCCAGCCCGGGAACTGGATCTGCCCCGCCACGTGCCCGCGCATCGCTTCAGCGACTATCACTGACGAGTACATATTATAACCTGAGCCTGGTGTGCGCGTGGATCTGCTGGCACAGGCGGCGCGTCTTGGTGGCGCGCGAGTTCCTCCCCAGCCAGCCCGGGAACTGGATCTGCCCCGCCACGTGCCCGCGCATCTCTTGACCGACCATCACTGACGAGTACATAGCCTAGGAAACGATCAACTATCATCATCAGCCTTTTATTTATGTATAATAGGCAATACGTTTGACCACAATCTCGCCTGAAGGAAAGCGGTGATGAGGCCTAGGATAGTACACGCGTGCCTAGAAGATGCCTGTTCACTCTGGCCTTGAAGATATCCAGATTATACTGGTCCCAAAATGTCAAAAAAAAAATGTACCCACTGCTGGGGCATAGGCCTTCCCTATGGATGGAATAGGGAGATTGGGCCATGACCCACCAAGCGAGCCCAGGCCGGATTGGCGGGTGCTAACGACTGCAGATGCAGCCGGTACTAACGGCTTAACGTGACTTCCTAGGCACGGTGGAACTCGAGACAGATTTTTGGTCACCTATCCAATGACCGACCACTGCGAAAGTTGCTTAACTGCAACGATGGCAGCCAAACGCGTTAACCAGCTCCACGATCAACTATAGGGAGCGGCAAACTTCTTGAGCAAAACCACTGACAAACAAACTTGTGAGGTACACGTTTTGTATGTAAAATTTTTACTGCACAGCTCAGTGTGTTATTTTGACTTAGTTTAAAACAACTATGCTTTAGATAGGTGATGTTGGCGATTCTGGCATGAGTCTCTAAATCTAAACTTTAATTAGATACAACAGTTGCATATATAACAAACGTGAAGAGGAAGGTACTAGCTGCCGGCAGCTGTGCGAGGTAATAACATGCCGCGCGGCTAATATTTTAAATATGAAAGTTTGTATGTTCATTACTCAATCACGCAAGAACTTCTGAACAAATTCAGATGAAATTTTGTGCACATATAGTTTACGACCTGGATCGAGAAATAGTATACTTTTTATCCCATAATAATGTCAGGTTCCTGAGTTATATCCAAAAAACTAAAGTTAAAGCGGACAAAGTCGCGTGTGGCCGCTATTGCTTAATGTATGAAAAATCCAATGGCCTATTTTAAAATATAAATGGTGTACATTCCGGCATGATTCTCTAAACTTAAAACTCAATTTAACGTCAGTCTCTGTTTATCATACTGTATTGAGAACAACAAGGATACACTGTCGTCAAATTTAAGTTTAGATTGAGAGATTAAATATCAGAATCGACACCATTATATTGTTATTTTATTCTAAAGAATAACATGTATTAAATATGAATATTAGAAGCGATATTCCTATTCCGAGAGAACAAATAATTAACCTTTGTAAAAAAAAAACATTAGGCGAAATGTTATTTTTGTTATTATGTTTACGTGACATTTTTTGCAAATAAATACTTCTGACTTCTGTGACCGAAAACGCCTAGTATTGGCGAAGACAGAAATGACGTCACGCGCTAGTAAACTTCTGGTCCAAGTGGCATTACATTGTAACGTTTTAATGATAGTAGTGTGACGTCATAGTGTCGTTGAAAATTGCATTTTGGATTTAGTTTTCTTTTACCGAAATACAAAACAGAATGATTAATATCCACTTTTTATGGACTCCATAAACATTAGTAACTAACGTAAGATCGTTTTCTAAGACTTTTAAATACCATATGGTCCGTCATTGGATGTGTGACCAAAAATTTGTTACCTCGAGCTCCTCGATAAGCCGTTAGTTTCAGCTGCATCTACAGTCGTTAACACCCACCAATCCGCACTGGGCCCGCGTGGTGGGTCACTGAGCCGTGACCCACCACGCGGGTGAGTCCCTATTCCATCCGTAGGGAAAGTCTTGGGATACAGGCCCGTAGGCAGTAGGGATATTCATAGGCTGGTAATGATGATGATATGGGTAATTACCTGAGTGGGTAGTAGACCCCAGGACTGGTTGGTTCGGATCCTGGCATCCACCAGGTCGCCGAGGCTGATGCAGTCCGCCGCTCGGCTCACGCGATCCAATATTTCCTTTCTGTTCAATAGACAACCTTGTGTATACGTAAAGTCGATGGGGATATAGGGGTGATGACTACCCTTTTTTTTAGTCTATCAGGTAGATTAACCAAAAAATATCCGACACTTATTTTTTAAATCTAAAGAATATTTTACTACAAAAATTCCACGAGGTCCAGGCAGCAGACGGGACTTGAATCCGCACCCTACGCTATCCGGGCGGATGCACTGACCATTACGCAACCGCAGCCCTATTTGCCCGTGTCGAATTTACACAAGCATTTGTTAGGCTGCAAGGCAGCGCCATCTCTTCGCATTGTAGGTAAGCCACAATTTTTCTAGTAAGATTTTCTTTAGATTTAAACATCTAGCAAATAAATGCCTAAAAAAATAAAAATATAACACATATTTTTTCTTTATTCACATAATCAAAACACTACAGAGATATATTGATTTGAAATGTCGCTAAAGTCACGTCTTGGTACTATTTTATTTTATCAAGAAAAGGACAACAATACAGCTTAGCCGTCCGGACTCGGACACAGACTCGTCGTTTCAGAGTACAGTTGTGTCTCGCTCGTTCGATTGAATGTTTATTTACAGACGTGTGCGTGTGTGAGAGTTGCTTAAATAGTTGCGTCGGAGCATATTTTATTTGATGCTAGTATGAGCGTACCGTATCTTCCCTTTTTGATGTGTGACGTCTTTCCTCTCGCTTTCCTGCAATTTGTGGGAGTGATTTCGTGAAATGGGACGGAAGTGTGTAACAGGAGGTCGCGAAAGCGCGCGCTTTAAATTTGATTTTAAAGCATAATGTTCAAATGGCTTATTCCTTTTGTATTAGGTTTTACTTCTTTTTTTACTAATATAAGATGAGGTTTCAAATGTTACACATCATACGCGTCTACTGTAAGGCTCGCTCGTTTTTTGTTTTAACCTAAGACATTATTGTTTGTATGTATGTCACTCACTCACAGGAGGAGCTCGACGGCGAAAAGTTAAGCAACTTTAGCTATGATCGGTCATTGGATGGGTGAGCGAAAAATTTACTAACTCGAACTCCCCCGTGCTTCGGAAGGCACGTTAAGAAGTTAATTCCGGCTGCATCTGCAGTCGCTGGCATACCTAACAATCGGCAATGGGCCCGCGTGGTGGGTCACGGCCCAATCCCCCTATTCCATCTATAGGGAAGTCCTGTGCCCCAGCAGTGGGGGCATTAATAGGCTGATAATAATGATGATGTCACTCACTTGGGGCAATGCGGCGTGACCTGCAAGTAGTTCTCTTGTACGAAGAGAGGTGCCAGGCTGTAGTCGTAGAAGAACAGGTCGCTGCGGTCGTTGAGGCTCATCGACTTGTGTTCCTCCTCGGAGAACACCTTGCGGACCACCTCCCAGGGACCCTGAATTATGAAATGAATTATTTGAATCTATTTTATCTTTAAGTTTAGAGAATCATGCCGGAATGCACATCTCTATCATTTATATTTTAAATAGGGCATTGGCTATTTTTCATAGATTAAGAAATAGCGGATGCCCGCGACTTCGTCCGCGTTAACTTTAGTTTTTTGGATATCGCTCAGGAACCTGACACTTTTCCGGGATAAAAAGGATACTATTTCTCGATCCAGGTCATAAACTTGAAGTGCACAAAATTTCATCTAAATCTGTTCAGTAGTTTTTGCGTGATTGAGTAATAAACATATTTCTTTTCACTTTTCACTTTCATATTCATTCATAAATAAATTTCATATTCATTGAAAATTTTATTTGCAACTTTCACAAAAAATCCTAGTCCAATAGTTACCAGTCTGACGTCTTTCACAGTGTGCTGCTTCTGTGCGCCTGACGACGTTTGGGATGGGTGTGCAGCCCACACGGCCAGCAGGTGCATAGTCTGGCGTATATCCTGATTGGCAGCTACTATCAGCTGGTTGAGTAGTTCCGGAGGAACCTTCACTCCTTCTTTGAAGCATATCGACATCATTGCGGACTGAAACAAAGTGTAAATAATGAATTTTAGGAAACATAACACTACTTTCTGGTGGTGTTGAGTTTATATTGGTGAGTAAGGTCCCAGGGCTCCACGGGGTAGGAGATTGGGTCAGGGTAGGGAACGATGCGAGATATTTTTCATTAAAAAGGCTGATGGTGATGATTCCTTTAAAGCAGTGTTTCCTAACCTTTCCAATTCTGCTACCCCTGTAACCTATTAGGAAAACAGAGTTTACCCCGAATTTAAAATGTTATCATCAGTCTAAGAAATTCCAATTTGGCCGCTACATCTTCGTCTCTACTAATGTCATCATCAGGAGAGAATCTCGCCCCGCTTCCCACACTCAGCACCCCGCGGGCTCACTAGCAAGAAGGACCGCATGCTCTATTTAGTACTATTATTTAGATTTGACCAAATAATTAGGTTCTTTGTTACCCCCAAAGTATGGCTGATTTACCCCCTGAGGGGTAATTTTTTAAAATTACCCCCAGGTTCGGAACCCAGGCTTTAAAGAGAAGTATTTACCTTAATCTGGTCGACCCTGGGTTTGCTGAAGCGCAGATCGTAGCAGTAGTTTACGAGCGAGCGCATCTTCTGGCTGTTCCGGTCGTTGCACATACAGATTATAGGTACCGACGTGGCCTTTATCAGACCTATCAACTCTTGGAGACCGCCTGTTATAAACAAGAAAAGACGATCGAATTGAGAAGGTTCACCGTCTTTAGAAGTTCGTTTCGGTTTCGGGGGCTTGATGATGAGAGGTCATCAAATAGGTACGTTACATTAATTTTGTTTTTTTTTACCCTTTCCCCGTCCTTGTTGGTCACATCTATGCATATCATAAGGCATTTTATATATATTTTTTTAATATAATGTATTATACCTTGGTGTAAGCGTGGGGTGAGAGTTACTTTAAGTCAAAATGTTAAAAATAAAAGTCTTATGTGCTACCTACCTCTATCCTCATTCCCAGCCATTCCGTCAACTTCGTCCATGACTAAAACATGTTTCTTTGTCACAGCTTGTTTTCCAGTTACACCTGTTTAAATACATATACATAAATGAAAGAATACTTTTTGAAGTATTAATTATCTCTAGCAAAGTTACATAAATAAATACAAATATACAGACAGACAAGAGGCTCGACTTATACTCTTGCTTATATCATGAAAATGAATCGATTTTGCATACAATTATAATAATATCACAATAAAAACTAATGAAATTTTGATATTTTATCAAATAAAGATTTAGTGCACATTTTTGAGATTTCAAACTGTTACAATAGAATGTATTATTTAGTGTTATTACAAAATTGAACGCTTCTGCTGCTTAAAAAATTTGTCTGGTGTTTACAAAAAGTACTATTGAATTGAAACATCTTTAGGCACGCTTGACTTGGGGGTAAACTGGTGAATGAATACGCGTACGCGTTACGAAAAGTGTCAGCGGTGACCCGTCGGTAAACAATGAACAATTTAGGAGCACTTGACTTGGGGGGGTAAACTGGCGAATGCGTTACTACTTACGCGTTACGAAAAGTGTCACCAGTCACACATACACACACATATATATATATATACATCTCTGTATGTATATATATATATATATACATACAGAGGGAGCTAAAGAAGTTTCACTTCAGTCGTGTGGTCATAAGCACACTTGCTTTTTTCGATTTTACATGCTCCATTCCCAGCTCACCCTTAGCGAATCCTGAGAGCGAAGTGGTGGTGAGTAGTTCGCTGATCTGCTCCTTGATGAGGGTCTTGCTGCGGGTGTCCGAAGCATTGAACTCCACCATGTCGAAACCCAGCTCTTTGCAAACAAGGGATACGGTCGTTGTCTTACCTGGACGATGTCGTTTTATTGTAGAATAGAATTAGGAATTATATGGAAGCTCAGACTCATTTACACTATGCAATTTTCTTGTACATACAAGAGCAATAATTGACCTTCAAGAATTGTAAGCAACTGTTTACACGCGGACATGGTAAAAAGGTTGCATACAATTATTGAATGCCAGTTTTGACAAGAAAGAATTGCAAATGTCTTTTGTTTACACCAATACAATTATCTTAGGAGATGTCTAAACACAGGCTTGTATGTGCGTGGACTATTTTTAAGAGACTTGCTTCAAGAATTCACGTACATTTAAGTTGAAGAATTTTTCATTCAAGTATTGAACTATTGTTTTAAACTTTCATGTTCACTAACATTATAGCTATTAACGGGATTGCTACCATGTACCTTGTTTTTTATGAGTCTCCGATATTTCGGCACTGTTGCAACTTTAAGTTCGTTTCGATGTGAATATTTTTTACACACACTAAGGCTATACGCGCACAGATAGAACAAAATACTTTGACAAATCAAATATCCGCAAATGAATTCAGATATGCCTTCATTGGGTAAGATAATGTTAAACGGAAATCTCTACCAACCCCATGATCGGCGTGTTCAGCGCAGTTTTTTCGCCCCGCCCATTTAATCCCAGTTTGCTTGGAACCACTTTTTAGCACAGTTCGTATTCCATATTAGATCTTATTCGAGTTTTTTTTTCGAATTATTTTCGAGTACGGCGAGAGCTTCTTATTTAGTGGTAAACAAGACTCATGACCCGCTCCGATATCGACTCAGGTGTAATCTATATTAATATATCTTATAAATGCGAGAATCTGTCTTTCTGTCTGTTACCTCTTCATTCTTAAAACGCTGAACCGATTTTGATAAAACTGTATAAATTGCAGTTCAGAAAAATTACAAATGTTAGTTTTCATCCTTAAAATCATCCTTTAAGGGGGTTAAAAGGGGAATGGAAGTATGGGAATCCAATTTTCCCACGCCGGCGAAGCCGCACCCGCTACTTTAATAATAAATAACAAGTGTCGATTATTCTATACAATAATACTTTCTCCAGTGTCGAGTTCTATAGTGATTAATTAGTTTTAATATATAATAGGAGGAGCTCGATGGTGCAGGTGGTAAGCGCGTTCGGTTGCGATCTTTGAAGTTAAGCAACTTTCGCAGTGGTCGGTCATTGGATGGGTGACCAAAAATCTTCTATCTCCAGTTCCTCCGTGCTTCAGAAAACACGTTAAGCCGTTGGTCGCGGCTGCATCTGCAGTAGCACCCACCAATCCGCACTGAGCCCGCGTGGTGGGTCATGTCCCAATCTCCCTATTCCATCCATAGGGAAGGCCTGTGCCCCAGCAATGGGGACATTAATTGGCTGATGATGAATATATAATATGTTAACTTACCCACTCCAGGTGGTCCAGACAACAGAGCTGCTTTATAATAACCCCCATCATCATTCTTCGCCCATGGACTAGGTTTAGGCAGTTTCGCCTTCCTGTTTATGTACCACTTAGTGAGCCAATTACATAGTCTGAAATTTTTATATCTTATCAAATCACATGTTATAATTATAAAATGGTATAATTAAAATGCTTTTCGGTAGGTATTAATAAATAATCATGTAAAAAACCTCTTTACTTTTTGACGTTGCTTGCTTCACCATGTTGTCCAATGATTTGTTTCAAAGTTTGAGGCTTGTATTTATCTACCCACATTAGAGTGGATGTAGCCGGTTCTATACTTTCACATGATTCTGACTTTGTACCTGTAAAACATAGAAGAATTAAATTTGTCTTTTTAAATACTAATAAGATCAATAAATGCATTGGAAGTGTTTATTTATAAACTATCATATCACCTGGGGGCCAATCGCCTAACGAAATTGCTATGGCTATCGCTATCGGTTAGGATTTTTTTTATTTCTGACCGCTGAAGGTTTTGCAATACCTCCCGCTCGTTTTTTTTCTTTTGCATTGGTAATAACAATATTAAAGAAAATGAGCGTAAGGTATTAGAAAACCTTTGGTGATCAGAAATAACAAAATGAAATCGTAAGCGATAGCGATAGCCATAGCAATCCCGTTAGGCAATTGGCAACCCTTTGGATACTAATATACAGCATTCAAATTATCTTCAAAGATACTTAATGGCCATATAATAAAATTCTATTGGCAACTTAATTAACCTACCCTGTAAACATGTCTAATAACTTCTTTGTTAGATTTATAAACTGTAGCAATTTAAATGCACAAAATAATGTAATAAAACATATTTTTTATTTATTCCTTCCTATACATACCATTATTAATATTATTTGTTTTAATATCTTCCTTTGATTTCACATCTTCAATATTATCACTTTTTGGATTTGTCTCATTCTTGATTTCGTATGGGCTTTTTGATTTGATGTTCTGTTCATGATTCGATTTAGTCTGTTTTACTTTATCAGATTTTTTATTTGGTATATCACTACTTGATTTCTCAACTTTTATTCCAGATATATTTTTCCCTTTTAATATCTTATTATCAGATTTATCTGTGTTATGAAGACCTTTCGATTTATCTTTTTTACTTGGTGTTTTTTCAATTTTAACCTCTTTGGTGATGTTTTCGGTGGCATTTGTCTTTTTATTTACTGAATCTCTAATTATTTGAAGGAACTCATTCTCATTGATAATTTTAATGCCCAATTCTTGGGCTTTAGACATTTTAGCAGGACCTGCATCTTCACCTGCTAGCACATGTGTAACCTGTATGTAACATACATGAAAATATATTTTTAAGTTACTATTAATGAAAGTGTCAACAGTGAAAACTTAATACATTTTTATTAACTGGAAAGCAAATCTCATTAGCAGATTTATTGACTAATAACATTTTACCTTTTTACTTATAGCATTTTTGATACAGCCACCATATTTGACAATTGCTTCTGTGATCTCTTCCCTTTCAAAAGAATCCAAAACACCAGTCAGGAGGAATGCACAATCCTTTAGGCAATCAGGTGAGCCCTGTACAAATGATTGTGTGAAATAATTTTAACAATTTTAAATGATTTAAATTTCTGATATGTATTTGATGTGCAATATTTGGTATGTTTTCGAACAATTTCCAATTTGGAAAGAAATGCCAAAGAATCAGCATAGAAATTATCAAGCAAATCTGCAGGCTAACCTGTTACTTTTGGCATAAATGAATGCCAAAAGTAACTTCTATATCATAATAAGTAGTCATTCAAACTATTTATTACTAGTAGATGCCCGCCACTTCGTCTGCGTGGTTAAATTGATTTCCCATATAATGTAAACTATCCTTTTCCTTTCCCGGGACTCAATCAATCTATACCAAATTTCATAAAGATCGGTTCAGTGGTTTAGTGTGAAGAGGTAACAGAAACTTTTTGGCATTATAAAATTATTTTGGATCATGTTTATAAATATTATTACTATCTAGTCTCACTTGAAATTAAAACTGCAGTTAATTTAGCTATGATTAAAGTAAATCAATAACCTTAGGTATCTCCTTAGCACCTAAATGTTTAGGACCAGACCTATTTAAATATTTCTGATATAATGCAGCAGAATAAGATTTTCTCTCATGTCTCTCCTCATCTGTCAAGGCTGAAAAGAAAATTTATGATAAAAATATTTTACAATATTATTATAGGTACAATTTTTTTTGTTTATAAAAGGCAGTCATACTTGATTCATTCAAGGATTTGTTAGATCTCTTCTTTTTCTTGTTTTCATGTATGCTTTCATTCAAACTATTATCAATTGCATTACTATCATCAAGGTCTGCTTCCTTTTTCACAATATTAATAATTCCATTATTTTTATCTTTAATATTATCATCTAGCTTCTTTTTCTTACTGGTATTCTCCTCATTAGCTTTAACTAAGTTGCTATCAATTTTCTCTTCAATAAATTCAGCAAACTTTCTTTTATTTTCATTAACTTTTGATTTATTTGTGTGTGATTTTGAACTAAAATCATCCGTTTTAGATTTAATGTCCTCCTTTAGTTTAGGACTCACTTTACTTTTTTTACTTGGAGTGTCTTTTTTTGTCAGAACATCTTTCTCTTTGCTATTAGGACTTTTCACATTCACAGGAGGTTGTTTCTCAATTGAATTACATGCCAGTTCTTCAACGGCATCTAGTTCTAAGAGACTTTTTTCAAAATCATCATCAGAATGAATACCAGTTTCTGTTTTTTTCTTTTCTTTCTTTACCAAAGGTTCTGTTCTTTTTATTGGACCGCTACCAAATAGATCAGCGGCTTTGACTTCTTTAAGATTGTTATGAGGTGATTTATTTTTTGTTCCAGACTTCATAGAATCTTTACTAGACTTCTTTTTCTTTGAATCAAATATCTCCTCTTCATCAGAATCACAGAGAACTCTTTTTTTCCTGGATTCCTTTTTCTATAAATATATTTAAAACAGGTATTCAACACCAGCAAGCAAAGAAATCAATCTAGATAAAGCCTTGAATAAAAAAAATGCATGGACTAGCGAAAACAATCTATGGTAAAGGAGAATGATTGAGAGACAAGCTTAACAGAGGCCTTCTAACTCTCACTTCAACCAAACAACTCATGTGACGTTTTTAACATGTTACAACAATAAACACAAAGGGAAAAGGTAATTATTATGAAAAATAAATTATAGGTATTAAAAATTATTCTTAATAATAATAAAAAATACTAATTGTAGTCATATAGACTACTTTATTCAGTTACCTTATTCCTAATCTGTACATCTGGGGATTCTGGTATAATATCATCATCATCTTCTTCCACTTTTGCTTTCTGTGAGTTTTTTGGCTTAAAAAATGATCTTATATCCTGCAAAATGGATTGATAATAAGTAAATAATAAAAAATAATAATAAATAAAAATGTGTTCATATATTCATGACAATGATGTGATATCATTGGTTTTATAAGAAAGCAAATAATGTATTGTAACAAGGAATGTCTGTATAATTTCAAGAACTCTATGTAACTTTTTAATTCGTTAACATTTATAAGAACTGTAAAGAGTAAAGAAAAGATTTAAGGGTGACAATGTTAGGGTGGTTGCTGGCACAATTCCATCTGTCATTGCAACAGTAATTTGATACACCTTCTACTTAAAAATACATATTTTGATTGTACTACGACCAAAAATAAAACAGTCTTAAGAGATATAATAAAAAAAATGCATTCAAACACTATCGGATTCAACATTAGAATGTTGACAACAAACAGACAAAGAATTGGGTAGGTTTCAATTATCTATTTACTGTATTGCTTTGGCTTATGTTAAAACAGATTGTGTGGTCATTATTGTGACGGTGGCATATTAGAACACAAAAATCTGGTCTCCCTACAGTTTTGCAAATTGATCACCTAATGTAATGCATGATTTGCACTGATCAATGCATCAAAGGCTTTAATAATTTGCTGAAAATAAACTTCTGTGTGGATACAGAAGTTCTGTGTGATGAGACAGAGTGCATCCAGAGGGATTCACTAAAGTAGGTATACAACATACACAATATGCCTCCCTGGTAAAGACAAAACTATTAGCCGGCGATTGCGGAAGATAAACAACCTTCGCAGTTGCCAGTTTCAGGATAGGATTATAATCTCTAACTTTTCCGTGCTTTCGAAAGCTTGGGAAGCCTCAACTACATTTCCACTGGGCCGAGGTCATCCCCTTTCTCCTTATTCGGAAGGCCAGTACCCCAACTCGACATTATCAAGCAAGCTGATGGTGATGACAATAAATGATAAAAACAAGATAGCTCAATATCAAAGTAATCTTTTAAAATATATTAGTATACTTACTTTGGACATTATTGAATAATTTAATATTATTAAGCGCAAACAACAACCATACTTAATTTAGATTCCTTTTACTTTATAACTTATTTAATTCCGATTTCATTTCAGCAAGACAGTGATTAGATTAATTTCTTCAATGATTGCACCCACAGCAAGATACTGCGACATTTCAAAACAAAACGAAATGACATTGACAACGATTTATTGATTTTTTTTTTTTTTTTTTTCGTTTGTCCTTTCGGACAGGCTAAGGTCTGGGACCATACTGCCTCGTCATTAGTTATTTTTCTTCTTTTTATTATTAAAATTCAATATAACTTCCTCAGTTTGATAATTTCCGGTATATTTTCTAGTTTTTTGTTTTACTCTATTATTATGTGCTTTTTTCCGAGCACATTGAACATCTTAAACACCAAACATTTAATTTTTTCTCTTACTAGACAGTCCAATCATGAATTAATTACATCCTATATGAATTTCATATTTATTTAATATCTTTTTTATAGTACACATTTACACAAAAAATAAATCATAGACCAATACCATGCAATACCTTAATCCTAATACAAAACTTAAGAAAAGAAAAAACAAACTTATAACAACGACATTTGATACGTTTCAAACTTGTTTCAAACCGACGACCTAAACGAAAAAGAATACCTACAAGCAAAATTACGAAAATAAACATTTTTTTCAAACAAATAAAAGGAAAGAGAACATGCGGTACCTATTAAACTTAACTGAGCGTTTTGTGTATGCAGAACATTTAACCTTAAAATCTAATACACAACGATATTACAGAATATTTATATTTCTTCAACAGTGTTTGCAATGAAATTATACAGAGGAACGTATGTACAATTATTTACAAGAAGATCGGTCAAGGAACGCGGGACCAAATCATGTTTGCCATAAATTTGGATTAGCTCATCCAACAACACAAGGCGCTGAATGCCGAAGGATGGGCAGTCAAAGAAAATGTGAGCTAGGGTTTCTTCTTGGGAATTGCAATGAGTACATTGAGCATTATTCACCATTTGCAACCGAAAGAGATGGAAATTAAGCCGACAATGACCAAACCTTAAGCGAAAAATCGTCGTATAGAATTTTCTATTCAAAAAGCTATTTGATTTGCAGAACCATGGCAATTTGTTTACATCAACATAAAGAGGTGTGTACCATAGACCTTTACCTTTAACCTGTACTATACAATTCCAATGGGCTCGCCACTCTTGGTGCATTCTTTCCTTTAGCAGAACAATCAAATCTGTATAAGGTATAGACATCTTCTGAGTATTGGTTTCAGTAGCTAGAGTATTGATAGATTTTGCTAGATAATCTGCATTTTCATTACCTGTTACACCAATGTGAGACGGAACCCACATGAAACTTACAATTATATTATCAACATTGTATAGATCATACCAGACTTCTTTAATAGCATGGATAATGTAATTGGTGTTTGCACTTAATTTATTGTTTTCTAAGTTTTTGAGCACACTCATGCTATCACTAAGTATTAGCCATTTTTTATGTCCTTGATTTTGGTGTTTTATGTGTTTCAGAGCAGCCAAAATTGCTAGAGCTTCTGCAGTGAATACAGAGGAATTTTTGTCTATCTTGTAACCTAAACCAGATTTTATAGTGCTAACGTAAAAAGAAAAAGATGCACTTGAATCATTTTTTGAGCCATCTGTATAAATATGTTTATGATCAACCCAATTTGATAGTTCACCAAACACCTCCTCTTTAGTAGAAAGCTCCTTGTAGATATTTATGTCAATTGATGGAAATTTGCTCTCAAAATGCCCTTCATAGCATGGTAAGATTGAAGGCTTATAAATGTTGGAATTTTCGAGAAACTGAGTGAACTGAGGAAATCCTTGCATGATATACAAAGGCCTACCTGCCAGTGATTGTGATAAATATGAAATATTTTTTAAAAGTTGATTATTGTTTATTGAGAATAGCTTCAAAAGGAATCTTTCCTTTAAGTAACTAAATCTTATTGAAATGGGAGAAAGATTACACTCAATTTGCATAACATTAATGGGAGTGCTTTTGAAAGCACCAGTTATCAAACGCATACTTTTATTTTGAATTTTGTCTAGGATATCTACAATTTTGTTGTCATGAGCAAAACAAAAAAAAGCATACTCAAAATGGCTGCGAATCAAAGACTTATACAGTAACAACAAGATCTTAGGATCAGCTCCCCAATATGTAGAAACTAAAGATTTTAATATGTTTAAAGCTTTGTTAGCCCTAGTTGTTATGTGTTCAATATATTTTTTCCAAGATAAGTTGTGAGTTATTAAAACACCCAAAAACTTTGTGTCTAATGAAACTGGAATAGCAACATTGTTATAGTAAACAGTAGGCATCAAAGATCTATTTTTCCCAAATACAAGCAGTTTTGATTTTAATGGGTTAATATCAAGATTTAAGTATGTAAAATATTGATTAAGATTAAATAAGGCACTATTAATTTTATTTACTAAATTTGTAATTTTATGATCGGAAGCATATACTACCAAGTCATCAGCAAACTGTAAATTTTTGACATGTCCACCCAGAATTAAGTTGAGACGTCGGATATATAATATAAAAACAAGAGGAGATAAAATTCCTCCCTGACAGACACCAACAGAAGCCAACCGTGGGCCATATAGGTAACCATTATTCTTAACAAAAACTTTTCTTTCAGACAAGAACTTTTGGACCCAATGAACAAGTTTTGGTGGTATACCCACTGAAGTTAACTCATTAGAAAGCACATCAACATTGACACTGTTAAAAGCTCCCGCAACATCAAAGAATACAGACACCATAGTTTGATTTTTTACTAGACAATTTTGGATGTCAAGTTGTAATTGGCAGATACTTTCACGAGATGAGCGACCTCTTCTAAATCCAAACTGATTCGAAGGTAAAATGCCATTTTTTTCCACATAGAACTCCAATCTTTGCTTTAGTAGTTGTTCAAAAATTTTTCCTACACATGAAGTTAGTGCAATAGGGCGATAAGAATCTTTATCCAATTTAGGCTTATTAGGCTTTAAAATAGGAACCAAGCAATCTATTTTCCAACAAGGTGGTATGTCATTGTTTTCCCAAAGATGATTTAAAACCTTCAAAAATATCTGCAAACTAGAATCACTAAGAGTTTTCAACATTTTATAAGGGATACCATCCAATCCAAATGCACTTTCTCTTCTGGAGGAGACTGCGTTTTTCAATTCTGTTATTGTAAATGGTTTTATTAAAAAGAGGTTGGTGGAATTTGATTGAGATCTATTGTAGGAACAGTCCTGATGAGTAGGTACATAATCAGGAGTATATTTCTTAAGAAAAGGTAAAACCCAGCTGTCACAGTCTGGATGACTTAAAATAAAAGATTTATTGAATTTACGCATATATTTCCAGATTACAGTAAGAGGGGTACAACGATTGAATGAACTACACAAATCAGCCCAGCTTTTTGATCTTTCAGTTTTAAGGGTGAGTTTTTTTAAAGCTTGCAACCTTTTAAATTCCAAATAGGTTGTTTCTGATGGATTATTTTTAAATGTAATATATGCTTGTTTAGAATTACTCACAGCAACTGAACAATTATTATTCCACCAAGGTAATGAGAGTCTTTTGCCAGTTTTTCTGTTGGTAGAGTTGGATTTTAATTTGGTAGGGGTTAAAGACTCTGTGGCTGAATAAAGAATTTCACAAAATAGTGTATAAGCCTCCAATGGGGTGTATGATTGAACACAAAACTCAGATAAAAGACTTTCAACTTTACATTGATACATTTTCCAATCAACCAGTTTAAAATTTTTGAATATTGGAAAAGTGACCTTATCATCCATGACATTATTGTTATTACAATCTTGTTGGTTGTTGACATTGAGACTAATATTTGTTTTTACAGGTAGATGATAACTGCCGAGAGGATCATCATGAACAGACCATTCACAAGATAAAGCCAAAGAAGGACTAACTATGGTCAAATCTAGAGCATTGGGCCGCCAAGTTAAAGAGCCAACTGTGGTTGGTTGCCCATCATTAAGAAGAATCAAGTTATTTTCATCAATGATATCCAGAATATCTCGACCACGAGGATTTGTGGAATTACAGCCCCAAGAAGAGTGATGACCATTAAAATCACCTGCAAAAATCATCGGACCAGGGATAGATTTTATAAGAGAATCTAATTTGCTTTTACTAAAGGCAGGATTAGTATTTGGAGGACTGTAAAAGCTAACAATTGATATATCTTTATTTCTTATTGTAATACGAATACAAATATTTTGCAAAGTATTATCAAAATTTGTATTGATTTTAGTATAAACAATGTTATTGCGAATTAGTATTGCAACTCCATTATGTATATTATCAGAATCATTTCTTTCTATGTTGTAACCTTTTATTTTGAATTGTTGATTCGGTCTTAGCCAAGTTTCTGATATTAATGCTAAATGAATGTTGTGTTCATAAAGAAAATTTGTAAATATGAGCCTACTGCTTACTAAACTCTGAGCATTCCATTGTACAATATTTAAGTTAGCCATTTTTATTTTTGGAAGGTATTTTTCTGAATGTATTATGTAAATTTTCTTTTATAGTATTACTATTTATAGGTACATTCTTATTAGATACTATATTCATTATTGTTTCTACTAATAAATTCATAAATAAGTCTGATTTTGATAAATTATTTAAATGTGTTTCTATCGATTTTTCGGCAAGTTTGGGAAATGATTTTTCATTAAACAGTTCTGAATACTGCACAGCTCTACTTTTAATTTTGTTGTCTTCGATCTGTTGCTTTTTAATTGGACAAGAGGATGAGATGGCTACGTGATTACCTCCACAGTTAGTGCACTTTGCATTTTCTATATCAACAGTACAAGATTTATAATTATGATTTGTCGAACAAATTGAACAGACTTCATTATTGCGACAAAACTTAGCAATGTGACCGAAACGCATGCAACGTAGGCACTGCTTAACAGGTGGAACGTATGGACTGACCTCGTGTCTCCAATGGTCTAGATATACGTATTCTGGCAACTGAGTAGAGGCAAACGTTACTGCGACTGTTTGCGTGGGCTGGTACGAGACTGCACCAGCATCCCCCCGCACACGCCGCATGAACCGCCGGACTTGTATAATGTTT